TGTGTGGTTGTTGTAGAGAGTTGACTGTATGTGCAGACCTCTGCAACTGACTTAATTTAATGTGAATAAATCAGGGTTGACAATCAGGGTAGCAATACCGCCCCACGTTACAGTATCATTTGCATAACTTCTACAAGGTGAACTGTGTTTAAAGGAATAACAGGTTAACAAAGTGTCTAATTTACAATATATTTTCTTTCCCAATCCAGCCCCCTATACACAGAACTTAATCCTTTGAAACCAAAGCTCATCTGGATAATATTTAAACATTCAGCCTGTAAAAGTAAAGTAAGTAAAGTTTGTCCCACTATACGCCATGTAGGCGTTTGGGGTGAGTGGAGGTATAGCTCCTCTCTTCCTTGACCTCGGCACTAGATGGGGGTGAGTGGTCAGCATCACGCCCCGGCCGGCTAGCTAGTCACTATACTGACTGAGCTATCCTGGCTCATTCATTCAGCCTGTACCTCAGAAAATAACACTTCACCTTGGTTAAAGCTGTTTAGCAAAATAATTGCTATTTACACTGAGAATCACACAAAACCAATAAATTCAAAAGGCAGAGTTACTGACTGTTAAAGTAGGTGGTATATATAGTTCCCACCAGGGTTTAAAAGGGTAAATGCTTTACTACACACACACACATAAAGAGAGAAGTCAATAATTAACCTTAAATTTTAAAAATGCATTCATATGGTTTAATACTGCTAAGCAAACATACTAACCCTCCAAGTAATGGGTTTCCTCCAAGATTAACTGAAGTTCCAAGTCCCATTCCTGTTGGAAATACAGACCCTGAACTAGGACCAAAACCTCCAGTATTGAATATAGTACTGGTTCCAAACATATTTGGTTTGTTAGCTGTATTTCCAAACATGGACTGACCTCCAATATTTAGACTTCCACCTGTTAAACACAAGACATGCACAATGAACATCCATAAAAGAGAATTAAAGAATGCCAATGTAAATCAACTGAATGAATGTACAAATAAGATAAAATCTAAATTCCAAAAACCATTAATTTTTCCAAATAAACTTATTAATTCTTTTCTGGAATTTATACTTACCAAGACCTGTTCCTGTAGGTGCTGACTGGCCAAAGCTAAAGCCTGAAGTTGCTGGTTTGAAAGGCTGGTTGAAAAGTGGCGAGTTCTGATTTGCTCCAAACACAGTGTTAGTACCAAAGCTTGATGTTGTGGGATTCCCAAATGTGCCTGGAAATCCTGAAGTTCCGGTAGGTTTTGCTCCAAACATACCTCCAGCATTTGTTGATGTATTCTGACCAAATGAAAATCCAGTACTAGTTGTGGCCATATTGAATGCTGGCTTGGTTTGGTTAAATAGTCCAATACTCTATGAAAAGAAATTGAGACAATAAAATAGACCATCTATTCCCTAGTTCTCAGACTTTAAGGTGCATCATACCACACATATTCCTTCATGCTTAGAGGGATTAGCACAATTCAGAAACATTCAAAATACAAGGAATATAACAATTTATAACATAGTATTAACAAATATTAACCTCTCCCATAATAAAAATGCCAAAAAATTGTAAACAATTAATGTCACGCAACACAATGTCATTAATACTTTGTGTATAAATACATCCATTCATCAATTTCTTATAACATAAGCTACCTTAATAGAACATGTGTTTTTATATACTGTCATACCTGATTTTGATTTCCAAATCCAGCAAAACCAGTAGGCTGAGTGCCAAATGTGGAAGGCTGAGATGTAGCCCCAAACAAAGTGTTAGTTTGTGGGGTAGCAGCTGCAAACCAAACATATGAATTAAAATAAACTTTGGATTACCAATTGTTAAACAGGCCACCTCACTCATTAGTCAAACCACACATAAATAATCCTGCTGTTGTGTACAGGGGTACATGGAAAACACAATCAAGCCCCAACCTACCAGCCACATGTTGCTGGTATTCATGTCCATCCAAGAACTTTATGAATCCACTTTGTACACATTCACATATTGCTAGCACCCTATAAAAAATCTTCCAACCCATGGCATTCTGCATGGCCAAAAATGACCGGATGTGGATCATGTTGCCCAAGTTTTAGAACTGACCTAAATAATCAAACATGCCTCAATCTACTGCTCAAACTGCTGTGTCTGCACACATGATAAAACTAAAGTCTGAAGTACAGTGAAAAATATAAACAACCACTTTTGAAAAGATTTTAAAATAACGGTCAGAGTTTGTTGGGTTAGAGGAATATCAGCACGTATTACTACACCACTGTATGCAATTTAGGTAAAATCCAGGCAGACCATGTCATCTTGTTGAATCAGCATTTTAACTGATTATACATTCTCCTATCAGTTTGTTTCAACATGTCAATAGTAAGGTGAACGACCAATACAAAACTTTACATTACACTGAGATACTAAACAGACCCTAGTGTTCAAAATCTAATGGCTGGCACGCAAGCACAGAGACATATATATATACATTCAAAGGTAAGTACAGAAAATCATATTTCTATTCAAGTCAGGACTACAGGAAACTTGCTCAGCAGTGCTTAACTTTCAACCAGAAAACTATTAGCAAACCAACAATCTAGGGTCCTTATGGCCAATTTAAATATTTTAGTCACTACGGCAGCATACATTCAATATTTCTGATACACTAACAATGTGATGAAAGAATGCAGAAATAACATACTGTAAAACTATAAACATTTTAAATCTTAATATGACAATCTTTCAAGCAAGGTACAACTTTTATGTGTATCACATACTTCCAAATGGTTTTGGCTGTGTATTCACTCCAAAGGGATTGGCAGTTGTTGCTGTGTTGAAAGAAAAACCAGAACCACCTGTGGTGGTTGTCATGGTTCCAAACCCCGACTTTCCAAAGAGTGTACTACTTTGTTGGTTCGCAGAACCAAACATACCACCAGAATTTGATCCAAATCCTGCAATAGTGACATACCAAAACCTTCAATAATAGGCATTTAGTAACAACCTAATAGAAATTCACCTCAGACTGGGGTGAATCACAAAAGCATAAAATGAAATCATCTTAAAGAGGTGAATAGAAAGTATAAAATAATCAATCAAATGCAATACATCCAGACATCTTTATACAATGGCAGCTATTTGTAAGAAAAAATGTAATATTTCAATAGAAATTTATATGTGAATTAGATCTCTTTTAAACAAAACCAAATATTCTGACATCAAAATAAAACAAGATATGTCAGGTAGTTAACATTTAATAAGTATAATCATGAACATACACTCAAGAATTTAGAAAACGATACTGCAATATGACCAGAAATGATACTTACCACCTTACCATTAGAAACAGACCAACACAATAAAAAATAAATATGATGTCATCACTTGTAATTTATGGAACTGGAATGATCCATTACAAAACTGTGGGCCATGTTACTTATGTACAGCTTAACAGAAGGCTAACCTAATTTTTATACTACAGCTCAAACAAATTTTAAATCTAGCACAATATGCAAAAATAGCATAATTCATGACATTTAGCAGTACAAACCTTACAAAAATATTTACTATTTCTGCTAGTTTGTTAAAAAACATATTTATTGATAAGCAGCAATCAGATTCATTGTGAAATGCCATCTATGTCCTTACCCATAGAAGTACCTCCACCAAACAGAGGTTTGTTGTCATTGAAGATGCCTGCTGTACCTGTGCTAGTACTAGCCCCTGTACCAAAGAGGGAAGTTCCTGTGGAAGTTCCAAATAATCCAGTTTGTTGTGGTCCTTGTGGTCCCTTGCGGTTTGCTGCATAATCCTCCAAACGCAATTCTTCTAGTGATTTTGATTCATATTCCTTCATGCAGGTAATGCAATGATGACGAGTGCTAATTGTCTGTGTCACGCCATTCTTTACCATTGTGTCTGAGCCAGTTACCGGAGTAAACTTAATTGGAGTACCAACTGCTGCAGTTGTTGTACTGCTTGCTCCAAAACCTGAAGAAAACATTTGCAATAATCTTCTTTCATATAATAAGATGCACCTAGTACGTACTTAAAGGAGACACAAAAAACTGCAGTAGAAATCCACCTTTCTGACTTAATTTTATAGTAAACAGCTATTATAAGGAGCTAAACTATCCATAATCTTCACCAGGTATTAAAATAATAATATCAGAATATGAGGTTGGTGTGCCAAATTTCTTGACTAGCTGGGTAGTGATTATTAGCTTCTCAAGAACTCTATTATATGAAGATAGTTAATGCAATGGAAGAAACAAAGACATAATGCAGTTTGAAAAGAATAGTTTTTGCTTACACAAACCTAACACTCACTTTCTGATCAGAACATAAATATTTAACAATGCCATTATCAAAGTTCACACCACTGATACCAATCCTGAGCCACCCCACCTCACATACACCAAAAATGTATGGCTGTTAAGTGCACCCATCCTTCAATTTACAAACACATTCAATGAAGGCTGTTTGCAAGGCAAAAATTCACAACTCAAGAAAGCAAATTTCCTTAAATTTCCAAGTAAAATTTTTTGAACGGTTCCTAACTACCAGAGAAATAAAAAAAAAATTTCATACATATGTTAGAACCTATATTCATAAAAAACAAGAACAGCATTACATTTTAAATGACAGTTCTTACCTGTTTAACCCTGCAAAGTACTACAGAAGTGTAAATCAAACATTCACATTCTACAACAGTCACTGTAGTTAAAGTATAAACATCAGAACTTGTGTATTTCTCAGTGTCAGTTACTTGAGAAGCAGATGTGCCACCCTCAGATGAAGGTTGGTTCTTCGTTGCAGCAAAAATAATGTTTGAACATTGAAAGCAGGTATAAATTAACACGGTTTGTTGTCACAAAAATTTGTAAACTGGGTGTTCATAAATCGAGGGATATGCGTACTGCTACTTTAACACATACTGATTCTTTTTGGCAATAGAATAAATGCAATTGACAGAGTAGCAGCATCATAAAATCAGTATGTAACTATAGTCCAGTGACACTACAAATTTCCCTTCTAATCACATGAGCCTGCAATTTAAAGTCAAGGCACTTTTTCTTCTTGTTTTTCATTATGTTCATAAGAGCATTATATTAATGAGCCGGTGCAGCTCAGTCAGTGTAGTGACTGGCTACAGACTGGACAACCGAGTTTCAATCCCCACACAGCCCCCTATCAAATGGGTACCGGGTTCCTTTCCCGGGGGTAAAGTGCAGCCGGGGCAAGACGCCTATCTACTGCCGAGGTCAAGAATGAACAGGAGCTATATACCCTCTCCCCCAAGTGCCTACATGGTGTACATTGGGACAGCTTTTAGAGCATTATATTGAGCAAAATTTAAATGGTTCTTGAATGACAAAATGGCTATAACAAAACATGAACTCTTTCAACACAATCCATAATAAAACCACCAAAATAAAATAAAAGAATGTGCTAACCTCCTGAACCAAAGATTCCAGTATTAGTTGCACCTGTACTCTGACCAAACAGCGATGGGGCAGCTTGTGTCTGTTGCTGCTGTTGCTGCTGCCCAAACAACCCAGTCCCAGTAGAAGTTCCAAACCCCCCAAAGGCAGGTTTGTTTGCACCAAATGCAGAAGTAACATTGGCACCAAATAAACTTGCGTTGGCATTCTGCTGACTACCAAACAAATTACTGCCTGTTGTACTTGAAGGAAAACCTGCAAAAATTACCATGTTCTAAGAAATAAATACCAACTTGAATTATATAGGAGAATCCCTTTTAATAAATAATTTGAAAATACCAAACACCTTCAAAGCAAAAAAGGGGCTGATCCATTAACTGCTCTCAAAACTTCCTAATACCTCATATGACTTTATCTTCACAAGGCAATCAAACCACAGACAACCTTTTCCCCACTTTAATTTGTCCCATATTCTATTTTGACACAAAAATTTACCAACAGCCAAAAGGTTATGCTGCATATAACTTACTGCTAAAACATCTTTCAGAGCTTCGGTACAAAATGAAGGACAGGCATGAGGTAATATAATAAACACAACAGCTTTAACTTTACAATGACATTATACTACAGCAATTTTATAACTATTTTTTATCACAAGTATTCCTAACTATTTTGCACCGAAAGAAAATAACTTGTCAGGTCATGAAACCTGTTGCCAGGAAAATTTTCATGTGGAAACTCATGGTTCACTGAAACACAACTTGAAAATAACTGATTTTATAAATGTTGAAACGTTACCAAATGCTGATGGCTGTGTAGTCTGAGCTTGTCCAAATACAGGAGTAGCTGTAGCACCTCCAAAGAGGCCACCAGTAGTAGGAGTGCTACTACCAAACAGTGATGAACTTGTTGACCCAAAAGCTGGTGTTGTAAATCCTGTTGTTGTGTTTTTCCCAAAGGTTTGTCCAAATGGACTTGTTGCAGTTCCACTATTGAAACCACCTCCACCTAACAACAATAATTCATCTTATATACTACAAAACATCAGCGTGAACAAATAAACTTAATGAAAATTCCCATTCCACTTAGAGACTTTCAAAAACACAAAAGATTAAGCTATATAAACAATAACCTTAATAATTTCATGTAGCTGTGTAACATGGCCTCTTTGACAAAAGAACACACACATTTTACAACAAAGTGCTCAGAAGAATACCTGTAGCTTTGTTAATAAACTGGGGACCACTGGAAATTACATAATAAAGAGCACTATAATATCCAAAAGCCACCTAGCATTCTTAAGATAAGAAATCAAGGTTATTATGGATTGTACATCATGTAGTTTGTACGGGGGATAGAAATATGCACATTTTAGGAGTGAAGCCTCTCCAAAAGGAAAAACATGAAAAATCAACAATAAAATAATTGAAAAATATTGAAATATGCCTCAGGAAACCACGCTGTGATGATGAGAGGTGGTTATCACCAGTACCAACAGAGTTAAACTTTTGCATTTTATTACCAGATGGCATAATTCCTATAGATGGTTAGAACAGAATGTTATAATTTGTGGATGGAAGAAATATAGAGTACATTTTATACAATGATAAAGTGTTCTTTAAATCTGCCTGGGCAGGTTTTGATGAAAACTTTCCATAAAAAAAATGGACTTACCGAATGTTGCAGCACTATTTGTCTGCCCAAAAGTTGATTTCATATCTCGAAACATGATCACAGGTCTTCACAAACCTAAAATGATGGAAATGTCATCTTAAAAACCTCTGGATTACACATGTCACCAAAGTTTATACCATCACTGACCATCTAATTTGCCACTTGTTTTTTTAATCTGCAATGGGTATTAAAAAGTTCCTGTAACGATCTGTCATTAACAAAAATTAGTCTTTTAACACTGGTGGTGACTGTACAGTTTCACTGTACATTAAATAATTTAGAGCCAGAACTATAACATTAGGTAAGTGCTAAGGGCAGCATTTTATGACATAAAACTATGGCAAAAACAAGCGTAGCTGTTGACACTCCGTCGTATTCCATTGTTAGCCATAAGAACAGGTGTTCCAGACTCCTATCTTCCATAAAGTAGTATACAACTAACTATTAATCAGGTTTTTTGACTTTGTCCACTGTCCAAGGTTAAAATGTGTATGATGTGCCCCATATACCTGAAAATGAAAAAGTATCCAGTTTTCAAAATGTTGTACACATTTTAACTTTGGACAATGAACAATGTCCAAAAACCCAATAAACCCGACTGTATCACACCTTCGTCAGAACCCTACAGAATCCAACTAACAATTAAATTTCACACACACATATCATCATCATCACAGGTTCCACAGTCTATTACAGGCCTCGACTGCCCCAACAACGCACTTCCATTGGTCCCTATGTATGGCTTTCCTTTTCCATCCCTGGACACAGAGAGCTTGAAGATCTTGTTCTACACTATCAAGCTACCTAATGGTATATATAATTTTTTTAAGCTAGCAAACACAGTGTTGTGGTTGCAGCTGTTGTTACAGATGTTGGTGACTTGTTTTAAAAATAATAAATTTGAAGGTACCATTAAGTGTTGCTATTCAGTAGCAAGCATGTAGCATGGGAGGTTACAACAGATTGTGCAACGAAATCAGTGGCAGAGTACGAAAAATAAGCCAGTTCTTCGAAATGTAATGGCACTATTTAAACATTAACAACCTTTGTTGATGCTGTGTGAATAACCTGTACAAAATATTTAAAATAACGTCATAACGAAAGATAACTTATATACGAGTCCAGGTATATGCAAACTATTATAACGTCGAGATCAAATAATTTACTCCTAATTGAAACAGGCCTACTATTTTCGAATCCGCATTTATAATACCGTGTTCATTGTTCCGGAGCTTATAACTAGCTACCACACCAATTTATTAACGGTTATTATAATACGAATATTCGTTACCGCCAATTCATTTTGATGCATCATGTTTCAACCGCAATTGCAATATTCAAAATTACAGATCTTACCTTTCGTAATGGAAAGTTCATACAACTTGAGTACGCATTCTATGCCTATCAACAAAATGACCAGTTACTACATCACTAAATGTTCAAATACCACAAATATTTCAACCTTCTATTCCACGGCCACTGCAAAAATATACGTAGCAAAATGTCTACAACTGTTACCAACACAGAGATCTGTAACTACAAGTAGATGACGTCACGTATGTATTCTTCCACCTATCCGCAGCAAAAGCGAAACTACTACAGAATGGTCTAGCGGTAACAGCCACGGGCTAAATCGATAAAGATATTAACTGCTATCCAACTTACACAATCTATCTCCACATCAACATTCAAACTTCGGTAACAAACAACTTTGCAACCGTGGTCTCTGGTAAACAAAAGAAACTTATTCATGGGTATTTGTGACCTGATTTAACCTGCAGCACTGCATTAATAAACAACAGGATAAATATTGTCCACAGTTCTTTTTAAAGAGCATAAAAACGTTTCATTTAAATCAATCTAAAATTCCTTTCCTAAATTGTACTTAACCATTTTACAAGTAAACTATACCATTAGCAGAAAAGCACTAAAGGATTAACAACGTACAGATGTGTAAATTCAAATGTTATTAATTGGAAATGTGAAACCTCAAATCCTACAATTGGAAGCGTGTTTTACCATAGTAGGATTTAAGGTTTCCATGGCAATGAGTATGAAGATGGCTGTCTTCTGGGTTGTTGTGTTCTGTAGTCTGGTAGAAGTTTCCGACGTTATCAACTCGATGATGGAGGCAGTAAGGACCAGACTGCAACCACAGCAAGCAATAAACAATAGCAACAGTATGGTGGTAACACTAGTCAGTCTGTAAAAGGTGCTGCAGAATATAGATGAACACCTTTAACCTGTTCTAATTCACTGATATTCACCAGATGAAGAGAGTCAGTTGGTTAGCAAATTCAAAAGTCCTTTGAATTTATATATGGATTACATGTATATCAAACTAAAATACCCTTACTGAAATGCACTGAACCACTCTACCATAGGTACAGAAGCTTATGAGTAGTATTATTAGTATCACTTTACCTTGTTGCAGTTGTTGGATTTGGTATTTCAAATAGTTGATAACGTCTTTTTTCACTTTTCTGATGTTTTAGGCCAGATGTCAGTCAATTTTTAATAATGTGACGTGCTGCTTCTGGAGCAGTGATAATGCGACTGGCTTGGTAGTGAAGCGTTCCACAACAATGCCGAGTAAACAAATATCTGTTGACATTGTTGATGACGTCATTTCTTGAAGACAACGACTAATCACAATTTTTTATAGTAAAAAAAGAAAAGAAAGAATATTTGTTTACTCGGCATTGTTGTACCAACACAACAATTCCGAGTAAACAAATTACTTCAGTAAGACATTAACTAACCCCATCTTTAGGGGGGTTAATTTAGTGTCTTACTCAACATTTTAAAACGCTTAAAACACTTAACCAACCCCCCAAAGGGGGGTCAAGTGTTTTAACCCCCCATTCGGGGGGGGTTTGTTTAGTTTCTTACTCAAGATTTTAAAACGCATTATATTTCATTACATTACATTTCATTACATTCAACTACCACAGACCCATCCTAAGCATGACTAATTCAAGTTAAATAAGCAATGTCTTAATCAAACTATTTACTCAATTGTAAAGCATGTATATCCTTTATACAGAGACATATTTACGTCTCCAGAACCATGGTTCCACTGTCAATTTTTCTTCCCTTTTAATCGTTAATACTGTTCAGTGGCATCACAAATTTTAAAGATGCAGACACAAATAAGTACCACACTTATCAGGTATCAATAAAAGTGACATATTTGGACTTCTCAATTTGAATGGAGATGGTGTTATTCAGAATCATTTTATTTTGTCTGTATCACTCTAACAAGTCCTTGTATCAAATCCATGAAGTGATGTCCTTGAGAAGCTGAAACCAAAATATATCCAGTAACACATTCTGTGGGTAAAATACAGAGTTACTGAATGTCAAAGAACAACATACTCTTGAAAATAAAACTGCTCAGTTAAAGTTTTAATGACAGATATAATTATTTTTTCTTCAAATTACATATCTACAACACTACAGCAGTTACATCATCACGAATAAATGACAACGGGAATAACCTCAAACCTGTTTTCCTTCTAAAACACAACGAAATAGAACACATAATACTTATTATATTTTACAATCAACATTTTAAATTAATTAATGATGGAAAATATATTCCTGAGATCTCAGAACTAGTCATGTATTTAATAAGCATCCTACCTTATGCATTAAGCAGTACTGTGAGTTAATAATAAGAAACTGAATACGTGTTTTGTAAATTCAGTAATCGCTATCCAATTTGAACAAAAAGAATCCTCACATTTACTGTCATATTAATATAGCACTGTGGGAAGGTATTTTGTAAACAACATTATTACAATGACCATTATTTTATAATCAAAGAACTAAGTACAGTAGGCAACTCTAAATTAATCTGAATTAATATTATATGTATTCTCACATATAATTTCCAATAAATAGTCTGATTTCACACATCACTGTGTCTTGCCTGTAAGAGAAAATTTGAGATAATGACGTTGAACTTATAAACATCCACCACTAGGGCAAAACAGAAGCCTGATGGTTTGGATACAGAACATCAATTCCCTCATAGGATGGTAAATTGTATCCTGTGGAAGAAAAACTATGAACACAACTCTGCTCCTATAAGTTCAGTTTGTAATTACATTTTCTTTGTATCTTCATGAAGTTCACAATTACAGTTTACAGGCTCATCAGAATATTGACAAATATATTTTATAATACAAGCATATCTGTGAGTAAGACATATTTATCATTCACTGGAAGTTTGACACAGTAGTCTACATCCATTATTACTAATTAATTTTAGCAAATAAACATAGATAAATATCTTAATTTCAGTAAGCAAGGCATATGTATATATAATATGGATCACAGTCAAACAGCATTTTAAACTAATACTTGAGTACTTAACACAATAAAATAAATATTGCATAAATAAACTGTGACTATAAAACTTAAATCTACATAGTATGTATCAGCTGCATCCTCAAGACAGTATTTTGTAAGATATTTAACACAGAATATACTTTTATTACTAGGTTATTCAATTTTGCAGTGTAGTGGTTAGTACTCCTATATCATGTTGAAGGAGTCCCAGGATTGATACTTTCTCACACTATGAACTATCCTGACTCAGGTATTTCATGATTTTCCTTAGTATCTCCAAGAAAATGCTCAGAAAGTATCTTAAAATAAGTTGAGACCTCTTCCTTCCACAACCTTTCCTATAATTCTCCATAATCCTCTATGATTCCCGATACAATGGTATATAATCTGTGAAGTTGACAAAGAACCTTTAAATAAGCAAGGAATCAGCATATTTAATAATGCAAGTGATAAAATTGTTCATGTACATATATGGCTTTAACATCTCTTGGTAATAATGTTTAGGTCTGCAGAATCAATGTAGGAGCTATTCCTAATGGGCACACTCAATGACCTGTAACCAAAGAATTTGGCCTGCAGAATATATTTACTACTAATTATATCAGGCTAGTTGTTGCTGTTTGATTCCTGTTTCATTATCAGTTAAGAACTAATGCCCACCCCAAATGTTGAGTGTCTGTACTACCCATGTACCTCCCTGTTAAGAAAATAATGTACATGTTTCTGCCCTGAGATCAATTATGTTTTTAGTAATAAATTCTCCATTAGAGTAGACAATTTAAATTATAAATTTACCTTTTATAGCTTTATAAAGTGGTACAGGATGAAATACTTTTAGGCAAATGATACATTCATATTTGAAGGAGAATGATGGTAACTTTATTAATAGTATGTATATTTTCTCATGTTTTGCTGTCCTGCTTATACTGGTAGGACATTATGTTTTGGAAGAAGTATACTTATTTTCATTAAATTTCATTAAAGAAAATAATTACTGCAGCATACTTATTTGTTTCTTTATGCTGCCACTATCAATTGTAATGTTTGATAAATAAATAACAGTTTAGGCATGTTATGGAATGTTAAATTATACATATATATTTGACCCTGACATAGCACTGGCAGTTAATTGCCACCTTCTTACCACAGCGGCGCACGTTTGCTTCCAGGCAATCCAAGTAGGATTTATGATGGATAAAGTGGCACTGGGATAAGCTTATCTTCAAGTCTTCTATGTTTTACCTGTCAATATCACACCAATGATGCTCCATATTCACTCATGTTTCATCTGGGGGGATGGACAATTAGCCTGTTACTGGCACAGTCCAACATAGTTTTCACCCCACTGTATTGTAAAAATAGTAATGAAAATATCTGTAATAATGTTATGACTAGGGTGGACACAGATTTTGTAGAACACCCTAGCCAATGCTAAAAAAGTAGTATAAAAACTGCAGTGCAGTTCAAAATTGAATATGTGCTGAGTTGCCTCTTTATAGAAAATGGACACAAATTTTCAGTATTTAGTAAGGACATACCCCAATATCATCTTTATTATTGGAATATACTGAAAAAATCGGTATTTTTTAATGATAAACTTCTTATTGAAGGTTCATCTATGAATGAAGCAATTAGTACTCAACAAACTGCAGAAATTCCAAGTGTTATGTACAAACCAGTTCCATTTGTAAATATTATTACAATGAAAGGGAAGGTTAATCTGCAACATGCATAAAAAGAAGATAAGTCTGAAAATCATTGTTAGTGTTACCATAAATGAAAAGACCTCTCCCATAAAATATACTTATCGTGAAACAAAACTACACAGTTTGATTTAATTTCTGGTTTTAATTTCAAATATAATATGGTGACGGTCACACAATGCTCATGCAAACCATCAATTAGCTAAATGTGCAAGACATCTGGGAGAAAAATTTCAATACTATCATGCAATTAATTCAGGGGAGTTTGCTACCATTCAATTTGGAATATTTTGCCTTTCCGTTTCCCACATTAATATATCATAGAGATTAAAACATACATAAACCTAATTTTTCTTGTTGTTTCATATGTCCACAAAATCATATTAAGAGAAAAAGACTGAAGATTTCTGAGAAGAAAGTGCCAAGGAGAATATTTAGACTTAACAGAGATGAGGAAGCAAAGGATTGCAGAAAATTACATAATGAGGAGATTCATAATCTGTTCTCTTTACCTGCTATGGTTAGGACAATTAAATGTAGAAGGATGAGGTGGGCCAAACATGAAAAATATATGGCAAAATAAGCAATACATACAAAGTTTTAGTCAGAAAACCTCAAAAGATTTAAAAGATATGCCTATGGTATGTAAATGTGAGGGCTGGATTGGACTGATTCAGGCTGGGACAAAATGATGGATTTTCAAGATAATGGACTTCAAGTTCCACAAACTCAGGTAATTATTGACAAAGTGAGAGACTATCAACTTTTAAAGAAAGATTCTGAAACATGCTGCTGACTAATTACAATAAATAAAATATGAGTTAAATGCTGAGTCATGTTATTCTTACAGCTTGGTTCAATTTTGGTGATGGAGGGCAAAAGTATATTTTACGTATATCTATATTTTTACTTTGGTTCACTCAACTTACACATTTCTATAAATATTTGGCAACAATCTGTTTGTATCTTACTTCCTCAGGAAACATGCACTTACAATATTATGGAATCGTAAATTCTGTGGGTTTCATGCCTTTGTCACGTACCCAAAGTTCTTTCTTACTTCTAATTCACTACTGTCAGTAATACCACCATGGCAAAAGAGAATGTCTGAGTGGGACTGATAACAGTGCTAATTAACTTTGGGTCTTAAAATATGTGATCAAAGACCTTTAAAATGTGAATATATGTTAAGTACATAAACTTCTTGTTTACACACTTAATAAGATATCAGAGCCCACAAAAAGCAATAGTACAACAACACTATTTATTTGCCTGATAGCTGACAAAGTATCTCTTCTCGGGTTTTCCCTTTCGTTTCTGGTACAAAAATCATGACGAATATGGTACCAAGAAGGCATATAATAAAGAATGTCCCATAGGTGGCCTCTGGACCCATGTCATTTATCATAATGGGGAAGAATTTTGTGACAAGAAATGCCAATGCCCAATTAAGGCAAACAGCAATTGAACTAACCCAACTTTTAGCTTCATTGCTTAGGAGCTCTGGCATCATGAACCAAGGAAGAGGTCCAAACCCAATTGAGCAAGCAACAATGTACAAGTTTACAGCAATCAAAGGAAGCCATCCCATTAATGTTATTTCAATTCCCTGATTAAGGAGATAGAAACGGATTACCATTAGTAGCAAACACACCCCCATTCCTGCACCTGAAATTATGAGTAATATTCTTCTTCCAATGCAGTCAACAATAAAGGAAGGTATGCAAGTTGAGATAAGTTGAATTATACCAACAATAACAGTACATAAGTGAGGGTCCAAGGAACTGCCTGCTTCTTCAAATATATTAACAGTATAAGCCAGTACAGCATTCATTCCACACAACTGTCGTAAAGTCATCAAACCAAATATAATATTCATGGCTTTCATTGTTGCAGATGTGACAGAAATGCTCTTGAAGACATTGATAATCTTGACAGGTAAAGATGTTTGGTCACCTGAGACAGAAATACTAACTTTGTTTCGCTTTATAAAGCTCTGCATTTCTTTCAACTCATCTTCAATGGAAGCACTGCTTTGATTATCAGCACCTCGAAGCCAAGAGAGAGATTTCTCAGCCTCTTCGATCTGGTCTTTGGAAAGAAGATAGATGGGTGACTCTGGCATCCAGAAGAAGGTGACAGCGAACAAAAGTGGAAGCATGGTGGATGCAATGGACATCCAGAGGTATGGAAGAACAGCACCAACCACATACACATACAGAATTCCCACGTTGAACATAAGGTCTAAATAAACACCCAGAGCACCTCGGATCCTAACTTCAGCTATTTCCTCGCTGTATAGGGGTGAAGCTACTGTGATAATACCACAAGTGAAGCCAAGAATGAATCGGGCCGTGTAAAGGACCAAAATCTGAAAGATAAAAATAACAAGAAGTAAGAACATTCAGACAATAAAGTTACAGTTACTGCATGGACTTGTAGGAAGATACTAGCATTTTGGAAGAACACACTGCCTCCATCTGCAGGGCAGAAGTGAGGAAATTATGTTTCTCTACAAGATCGCATCAGAACCCAAATGACTAAAATCTACATTTTCATGGCTGTGATAACTTCAAATTTCACTTACAGATTTATCAGCAAAGATTATCATAACCCATCCCAGAAACATTGGTGCAGCCATGATGAGCATCAACAGCCGTCGGCCCATCAAGTTCGCCAGGTACCCAGCTGGAATGGCTCCAACCAGTGAACCCAGAGGTGACAGGGACCCTATCCAAGACCCTTCATCATAGGTGATGCCAGGGACTGTAATGTTGTCAGTTAGGTTGTAGGCTTGTTCCAGGTGAGGGATACCAGCTGCAGTCCATCCATCCACAGCACCCGCACATGCAGCAGATAGTGTGGCTATAAATCCATCACATTCAAGAAATAATATTGTGATGCAGTGGTAGAAGAATGTGTACATGTTTAAGAAAATTCCTCAGCCTTAATACAGAATTATAACTTATAAATTTGTTTCCGGTATCCATAAATATATTTGTCCATATTTAACGTAGTTGCAATCTATACTAGTTGATACTATTTACAGAAAGGATGACTAAATATTTGCATATTACGTATTCATTTAATTCCCTGCTTACCTGAAACGTCTAGAGGGAAGAAGGTGTCGCAAGTTCTTCCCATAACTTACTGCTGTTTCTTAGTTCAATAAGACAAACCAGAGTCATACAGATACGTTACCTAGGCTTGCAGCCAAGTGCTGTGGCCATATCTTCCGTCCTCTGTCAATCTTTACTTTTGGCTGCACGTCACAAATTTCCATTTGTTCCATTGGCTTTTTTTCCCTTCAAAATTCAGGCAGTATCGTACAGGTCGATAGCAATTCGTTTGCCTTGAGGTACAAAAATAAACATTTTCAGACACTTGCTTTTTGTTGTTTCATGTTTCTTCCTTCATTCCATCCATTCAACCAACCAACCATCTATCCACCCATTCATTATTGGAAGTGTGACAACTCCATAACAAACACAGTCAGAACTGGCACAGATGTTTGTTTTGGGCAGCGTCAAAATGCCTTGTGACGTAAGAACTGGAGGAGCGGAAAACAGCCATGGCACGCAGCGAGGGGCTGTGGTAACCATCGTCACAGTCCACTTGCAGCGGGGTTAAAACCATGGCTCTGTCCACAATAGCATCTTTACATGCACGATCCCTGTCATTCAGATATGTTGACTAACAAGGTATCACACTTGATCATATTTGACCTCTAACAATACACATAACACTGTGTTAAAATTTTGTCAGACTTCAGAGACATTTGGATTGCAGATCGAGCAAAGTTCTGTGATATTAAAATGCCCTTTGTGTGAAAAAGTTGCTGTTGCTGTCATGACAGATGCAAGCGCATGACACATATCACTGTTCTTTATCCTTCGTATTAGCATTATCATAAAATTTCACCTTGTTCATTACGAAAGAATGGGAACAATGGGACGGGACTAAGAAGATTAAGTACAAGGTAAGCAAAATTAGCTTCACAACCATTATACAAATACAAGGTGGATTAGCTAAAATAGTAAAGTCACTGGGTACGGGCTGGGCGACCGGGGTTTGATCACATGCAAGGTCAGTAGTATTCCTCTTCACCAAAGACCTCAGACCGCCTATGGCGCGTCATTCAACCCCTTGTTCAACAGATTACGGTAACTCTTTTACTGGGGTAAAATGGCCGAAGCATGAAGCTGATCACTAAGTTCCATCTAGTCCTTAGGTTAAAAATGCGTAGAGCGTTATCTCCACTCACTGGTCTTCATGGCGTGGTGCCTAAGCACAGAAACGCCTCGTTTGTTCTGCGAAAGACAAAGTTTTAATTTGGAAAGTTTTGGAGAATATCAATCAAGGTGCACGATTCCAGGTTTCCAAGAAATATATTTCTAAAGGCTCAAACTATGGTAGGGTGGAATGGGGTAAACAAATTTAATGACATTCTCGTTCACTGGGTTTTGACATCAGAGGATTTATTTCCAAGAGAAACTTTTCAAAAATGTGAACAAACTCGAGAATAATTACTAAAATACAAACATCAATCTTGGCACATTATGTGACACGTAAGGAACGAGCAGCCGTGGAAAAGAAATCTGTCCGACAGCCTCGCTGAATTAAGAAGTAATGAAACTGAATTTTTACATACCTTGACTTCTGTAGAAGTAATTTATGTCCTCCCTATATTCATTTACGGTGCTCTGAAAGTTCTGTCAGTAAAGAAACTGGCTACAGGATGGGTTACCAGATGTCATGTCTCGGCGCGATCAGAAACCCTTCTCTTCGCTACCACGTACAGAAAGACTGTGGGGCTCACCTGACGGACACCAAAGGTTCTTTCTTTCTAACCTGCACGCTCCGCGTAAGCCTTCATGACATGATTTGATAAACAGACAACTTTAATATTGTGTTTACTTTTATTGAGTTCCTTCTTACATCAGTTACAAACTGTTTTCTTCGAACTCAATTACTGATTTCCTCTCGCGGCTTCATATTCGGGATATCGGCAAAGAGGTTTTCCTCAGTCCCTCCAAGAATATGGAGGGGTAATATCTTAAATCATGCAACCGCTCCTTCTTTCCATATCCATTCCAACTGATTATTCATAATCATTCTTTTCTTTGATGCTACACTGTATAGCCTTGACGGCGTCGCTAAATAAACTATAAACAAACACATCCACCGAAGAAGAATTCTAGTGTCTTTTTCAACGAGGTAGAATGTATCGCAACACAGAAGGGCAGTAGTGCGGTTTGGTGTAGTAGTAAATGCACAGCAAACTAAGTATAGGTTTATGTTTATGTCCAGGGCTGTCCAAAGTTTCTTGACCTCTTTATCGCTCAAAAATACATTTAAAAGCAAAACACTAAGAATTAGAACGACCTCATATAATGGATGATTCATACCCACTTTTTCAACCTGGCACTGCGTGCCAGACTGCACACACTATTATTTTTAAGACCACACGGTTGTTTACCATAAAATACGGCAACCTCATTATATAAAGATAGCTAACAAATGCTTAGAAAATATGGCGAAATTAACATATTTCTAAATGACAGTGGGGAGCTGATGGAAGTCCAGAGAGAATTGCACACAAAATTGTAGTCGAAAATCCAGAAAGAAGCAGGCCACTAGAGGGACCTAGGTGCAAACGTGGGGATAATATTAAAGTGAATAGTAAAAACAGGGCCTGAACTGGATTCATCTGACTCAGAACAGAGCCCAGTGTTGTTTCTTGTGTTTAACGCATTGAACTTTCAAGTTCCATAAAATACCAATAATTTACTGACCAGCTGAATGACTTTCAGCTTGACAAAGAGGACTCTTCCATGATATTAGTTATAAATATATAATATTTGAAACGTTTTAGTCACAAGGATTTGGGCCTGCAGTTACATACAAGAATGACAGTTCACAGAACACAGCACGCAGATTACAAATATTCTCTTAAATCTTTTGTCATGCCAAATTCCACACGCCCGCTCAAACGGGCAGAAATTTGTCACTGGTAAAGTTCAAAATCAAGTTGACACTGCAGCGTAGTGGTTCTATTCTGGAGATACATATTTTGAAAATTCACCTGGATATCTCCTTTCCTGTGATTGTTCATTAATACCTCGCACCCTCTAAACAAGTGGTTCGCAACTTTGAATAGAAGAATTATTATATAAAACTACGTATGCAACTTAAAAATTAAATAAGTGTTAGTATGACGTTATTCTCCACAATTGAGTACAAAAATAGATATTTAATGTTCGTGTCAAACTGTCAACAAACGGAGTTCGTACGACTTCATTCGCAACAAGGAGTGTGATGATGAGTCTCTACGGCGACAAAACCCAGGAAAACATGCTAGAGTTTTGTTGAAAAACCGAAAAAAAGAGACATCTCGTGGGATACGTAGATGGAAAGATATTATTAAAGCGTGTATTGAATAAACATAGCATCATCTGGATTCAATAGGCTCAGAACAGGGACCAACACTGCAGTGAACCTTTGGGTTCATAAACGACCGAAAATTCTATTTGGAGTCAGTAAATTAGAAGTAACCACCGTTTTGAGGGTGACGTGCAAATATGCTTAACGCAATTAATTCCATAAACCATATTAATAATTAACTCTTAAAATATATCCTGTACGTTTCGTTGAGTGGCTAAATAGAGAAGAGAATACATGATAATAAGCGTATACCCACCTCTTACCCGACACAGTATTATCTATAAGATTTTACATTTTTCGAGAACCATGTTCATAACTTTACACACACACACACACACACGATGTATTTTACGCAGATTTAGTGTAAAACTGAGACAGTTAAAAATTGCAGGAACCGATTTTTCTATCACCTCTGCTACAATACAGCTTCCTCTTTACTCTACAGTCATAGCAACTGCGCTTCTACATGACAGGACTTAAATTTGTCTCAGAATCACACTAGTTTAATAGGTACCATTATGAAGCAGACGATAAGAAGAGCTGTTTACAGTTTGCACAGCGTGATGGGTTTTTAATATTCCCCGTTTTCCAGTTATCGTATTTTACCTCATTATCATTACACTATTCTGATTACACGGTATGCATTAAAACCTGGTATTTCTATCCTTTTTACAGTCTTTCACATGTAGCAAGGGAGAAATAAAAAGGTGTATACAAAATTTTAATTGGAACTAGAGCAACGCGCTCCTTACGGAGCGCTCTAATCTGATATTCTATTTCTTTACGTTGTTGTTCAGAGGCCAACTGTTCTTGGTTAGTCAACTATCTACGTCCAATCCCACCCTTGCAAATCTTCGTCTGTTTTTCTACGTGTGTTGTTAATATGGTCTCGTTTATCAATGTAAGTCTTCTTTCGCTTATCCTGAATTGTTAAATAGATCTGATGTTTTAGTTCTTTACGTCGCTATTCAGAGGCCAACTGTTCTTGGTCAGTCAACTTTCTACGTCCAATCCCACCCTTGCAAATCTTCGTCTGTTTTTCTACGTGTGTTGTTAATATGGTATCGTTTAACAATGTAAGTCTTCTTTCGCTTATTCTTATTTGTTAAATAGATCTGATGTCTTAGTTCTTTATGTCGATGTTCAGAGGCCAACTGTTTTTGGTCAGCCAACTTTCTACGTCCAGCCCCACCCTTGCAAATCTTAGTCTTAAAATCGATCATAAAATCAGTTTTCATAATAGTTTTCGTAATCGTAATATATCGAATGAGTATCAGTTTACCTTGTTGGAGTTGGTACTTCAAATAGTTGATAACGTCTTCTTTCACTTTTCTGATGTTTTAGGCAAACTGTCAGTCAATTTTCAAGAATGCGATGTGCTGCTCCTGGAGCAGTGATCATGCGACTGGCTTGATAGTTTTTGTTGTGAAGCATTATTTGTTTACTCGACATTGTTGTGGAACACAACATTGCAGAGTATAAACAAATATAAGTTGACATTGTTGATTACGTCATTTTTTGACGAGGAATCACAAATTTATATAGTAGAAGATATTTTTATGGAAGACAACGCTCAAGTTACACAAGTGTACATGAAATTATAATATTACATTGCACCTGGAAGAAACAGGTTATAAGCGTGTGAACTAAATTCAGCTGGCTCATAATAGGACCCAGTGAAGGGCGGTTATAAAAACAATAACAAGAGTTAAAGTTCCATAAGAGGACGGAAATTTATTGAACAGCTGAGCGACTGCAAACTTGTTGCCATTGACTCTGATCCCTGAAGTTACTTTATGATACTATACATCTTCCTCTGCAACTTACAACTGTCTAGCGAACCTACTTTCTCACCAAATAATCGGGCTAGTTCGTTTAATAGTCAACTATTTTACTTAGGTCGTCAAAAAGTTGAATTCTCTTGTTTTTATTCGTAATGTAGTAAATTCTCCTATAGTTCGCGATAGCCCCTGGAAGCCACATCTCAGGTCACTGTCCTTTCCTTTTCCACATCGGGTTCTTTTAATATTTCACATATCGATAGTCGCCGAGTTATTTGATTTAAACTCGATAGAAAGGCCAAGACTTACATCCAAAGGAAAGCCGTGTTGCACAGTTGGCTACACCAATTTGTGTCTGTGGAGATTTTAATAATTCCTGTCTGGAACATGAACTGCACAAAACGTACTACTTAGTCCTTCATAGTGATAAAATAAATGTTGGGAGTCGGAGAGAGATTGATAAAGCGTTTACATCTTGCATGTTTGTGGGGGCGAGGGTAGGTGGGTTAATAGGTATCTTTATCTAACAAAAAATAAAATGTGAAGATTACCCCAGTAGAGTACATACATCTTACAAATATATTTGCTATTTTGCGTATCTCATTGGCCTTGGAAGTTCGTTTACTGTAGATTAAGGTTGATTACTGCAACGTAGCAATTAACGTGTTTGAAAAATATGTAATCTATTTAACGCAAAAATATCCGCTTTTGTTGAAAATAAACCTGAGATTCCTTCAACGTAATTAATTAAATAACAGGTGTTGTTTACACGCAAACTGTTATGTAATCTTTGCTTGCCCGGGGGGGGGGGGCGGTATTTGCCAGTAAAGTGACAGGCTACGGGCTGAGCGGCCAAGGTTCAATTCCTTGTAGGAGCGAGATTTTCTCTTCGCTCATATCCAGAACTGATCTGTATTCCATCCGGCATAATTTAATATTGGATGTGAACTCTTTCTTACATAACCTCCCATTTACAAATATTTTATTATATAACCTTCCAGTATCTCTCTCCAAATGTTCGGCCCATTTGTCTGTAACTAAATACTTTGTCATTTTTTTTATATTTTACACGGCCTTAAAATTTCACTTATCACAACTGTGGTTTGCATTGTCCTCCTTCATGCCAGTACGTTAAACGTCGAAACTAGCCACTAAACGTTTTAATTAACCAAAATCATGAACAGAATTAGACGTGCATGTTACTAACCCAGTAAAATAATCCATCCATGTAAGCCGACAGAAAGCGAATATATAATTGGACTTCACTACATAATAGCGGTTAAATGTTTAGGTTTGGTTTAATCGTAAAACAACTTTCTCATAAGAAAACAGAAAATCATTCGCAAAAATTCACAGCATGCGCTTTCAAAAGAAAATATATCTGGACCGCTACATCCTAACAGTAAATCGTGAAAATGTTGGATATTTTTAGGGTCCATATATAAAGCCCTACTGTCACTATTATGTTTGGGTGTGTGACGTATGCTTGGTACTAGGCGCCAGAATGACTGTTCTTAGGAATTTCTCTCTTCTGAAGGTTAATATTAAACTGACAGCACTCGATAAAATTAGAGATCACAAACACAGCACTACACGGAACATAATAAAAGAATGAAAGCCCACAATTTATAACACACTGAAATTACTTACCTCTTTCAGATTTTGAAAATATTAGTAGGAAATCGTACGTCTAGTAAGACAATATGAAATTATAAATACATACATAACAACTGCGTGTTTTAATAACATTCTTCACAATTCGCAATCACTTTTCCATGAACACATGAAGTGACATATTCGCCCTGCATAACCAGCCTTGCTGATGTCGGCTTTGCTAATCTTAGCTCTGCTAATCTTAGTTCACCTTGGAGGTGCAGCAACTTTTAATTGGCCATACGAACGCAAAGAGTTATTCATTGCAAAAGCGAAATTCTGGTGAAAAAGTAATAAAATCACCAATCGAATCGACTGGTGATATAAATAACTTCACATAAGGCGACGGAAGGTTTTATGGAACTCATTCAAGAAAAACATCAGTCACTGAAAATCAAATGGAGGACTTAATTCCATGTTATTTTAATCATCAAAATAAATTACATCCGATCGACATAAACTTAATATTCTATAAAGAATAACCACAGAAATTCTGCTACAAGTCGCTTAAAAACTGATATGTAAGTAAATATGACAGAATTCATATTTATTTTTCTAAAAGAGAATGCATAGAAGTAAGTCAGGGCTAAAAATTTTTGAGTTTTTATCATTGTCCGCCTTAGACATTAGTACATAATCTTATGTATATGAACCCTACACTAAACCAAAATCAACAACATAGTTAGAGGCCTATATAATATAGCACAATGTAAATATATGCAATGAATAATTTGAGAATGCTTCAAAATGTGTTTGGAAACAATGATAATATGCCTAAATAGAAATACTTCTTATTATTGAGTTCAAATTTATCTCCCATCTCTTCCTAAAACGCTGAAGATCAGGACAGACAAAATTTGTTTTGCATAGGTGTTAAGCTAATTGTCTGTGAGGTGAATTACGAGTATTTGGAAAACACGTGATCAGGAAAATATTTAAAACTGCAAATATAATACGATTACTTACATAGGATGTGATCAGTAACACGATCACTGAATGTATGTAAAACAGAAAAGTACAAAACTAGAACTACAGGATACAAATAAGAAATATGAAGAGGTTATACATACTTTGATTGAATAATTACTCACAATTTAATACGTGCTACAATGTATTATGGATTGAAGGCACAAAAATAATAACATCCTCCAGGTGATTAGAGACAGCAGTAGTCAATAATATTATTTATCAAAATAAAGATTCCTATAACATTTATTTTCCCATTAGCTCAAGCTGTATTTCCTCCCTTGACTTTCCCTGAGTTTCTGGCACAAAAAACACCACAAATAAAGTTCCCAATATGCAAATGCAGCAGAAGCCGCCGTACGTAATTGCTGGTCCAAGATCACGATTGATTATTGGAAACAGTTTAGTGACTACAAACGTTAAACTCCAGTTGAGACACATAGCCATAGAACTCACCCATACCTTCGCTTCACTTGATAACAACTCGGCCATTATTAGCCAAGGTAATGGTCCAAAACCAACTGAAAAGGCGATGATGAATGTATTCATAGCTAGTAATGGAATCCATCCTGCCAATGATATGGCCACATTATTACTTTGCATAACGAAGTGAAGTGACAAAACCAGTAGACTCACAGCCATACCTAATTCTGAAAGAATAAGCAAAATGCGTCTACCTACTCTGTCAACTATAAGGGATGGTATATACGTGGATATAAGCTGCAATATTCCAACTATAATTGTGCAGACAGATGAAGATAAACTACTTCCAGCATCATTAAATATGTATACAGTGTAGTAAATAACAGCATCAACACCACTCAACTGCTGGAAAATCATCAAACCAAAAATTATTCCGACAGCTTTAGCTGTTGGTGATTTAATAGAAAGATCTGCAATGCAATCATTACAAACTCTGCAACTGGTGTTTTCAGTGACTTTACTTTCCTCTACAAGAGAATTTTTCACAAATTTCTGCATCTGACTTAGTTCACGTTCGATATCAGGACTTTTAATTTTGCCTGTACCACGAAGCCAGCGTAGAGATGCTTCAGCTTTATCAATTTCACCCTTGGAGACCAGAAACATGGGTGACTCAGGCATCCAGAAGAAAGTTATTGAAAATATGGTGGGAATGACACAAGCAGAAATGGACAGCCACAAGTATGAGTCCAGAGCACCAATGATGTATATGTAAAGGATGCCGACATTAAACATGACGTCCATATTGACGCCCAAAGTGCCTCGGACTCTAACCTCGGCGATTTCCTCATTGTAGAGTGGTGTGACCACTGTGGCAGCTCCACAAGCAATACCCAAGATGAATCGAGCAACATACAATGAAGGCACCTGTCAACAGGAACAACAAATCAGAAATTGTGAAGTGGAGTGACTATTCTGGCAGCTATACAATCAACAACCAACGTAAACTGATCAATGACAAGTGAAGACACATATCGACAAAAACACAATAGTTTCTCTACTGTCATATATAGACATGTTGTCACATTAGCAAAGTGAGATCACCAAATGCCAAAGTAGAATGGTTAGAATTTGTGTTAAGTAACTGGCAAGTCCCAAGTTCAATACTTGGTCCTGGAGGCCAGACATCCTGACCAAACTCTTCTGTGGATTTGTCAAACACACCATGCAGATGCTCGGACAATACTACAATTTTCTTTCATATTGTTTTGAATTCAGAATTTGCAAACACGATGTATCAATATATGCAACTATATAGCTGGAAAGTGTTGAAAAATAATCCAACATCAAAAAAGAAGTGCATTTAATGAAAGTCAGAATTTTTCTTCAGAATCTGAGACAGTTTACTCTTTTCATCTATGTCCAGAAATGTAACAGTCGAATTGGTGGGGCAGAGAATTCTGTCATGTTGACTTTGGGGTTTCAGCTGCAGTGCAAGCTTAGAAAAGAAAGTCTGCTACATCATCTTGCACATGTAGCAAGGAAGGTAGCCAGGTAAAACATAATAAGTTGTCTCTGATTAGATATACATCCACAAAGTTATTCAGAAGACTTCTGCGCTGGAAAAGGCAATTTATAAAAAAGCTCTGTGTTGGATTTTCGTAATAAGAATGTACACTTTTATCCTCAATAATAATTACATTAAGTATCACCATTAAGCAATTTTAAAAGATACAAATTCTTATTCAGACATAGCCTACATTTAAAATTTTAATAATTAATCTCATTTATGAAATTACCATGTGATATTCGATTATATCCTTTTCTCAGTTTGACACTATATATTAAATAATATATTTAAGAATTCAAAAAATTTATGATGCACTAACCTGAGGAGACAGAAGAGGCCCAACTGCTATTTATAATCACACAGAAGGAATAGGCAAAATTCTGATAAATATATTTGAAATTAATTAAAACAAATTTCTGTAAAGACAAATATTCTTGGGTTTAGAGATAAGTTTTTCTAATAATATCCAACAATGATCAGGTCTGTGATAACATTTTGGACAAGAAAGACTTAGAAGAAATGTAAGCATCTGTAAACATTTTCAGCAGTAATACAACGGGCACTCTGTTAGTATTGATATAATGCACCAAATTGGAGTGAGTTGACTAACAGCCTGAAATAATCTACATACCGAATCTTGAGCAATGATGATTGTCACCCATCCAAACAACATGGGCACAGTCAATAATAGCAACAACTGCCTTCGTCCTAGAATATTTGCCAGATAGCCTGCAGGTATGGAACCAATTACAGCTCCGATGGGTGCCAGAGATCCGATCCAAGAGGCTTCATCATCAGTTATTATGTAGTGGAAGGTATTGTTGGAAGAGTTGTATCCTCGTGACAGCCGAGGATCCTGCAGGAGAGGCAGTGCTGGTGACGTCCAGCCATCGACAGTACCCACACATGCAGCACACAGCGTGGCTATGCAAAACAGAAAACATAATGATGGAAGCACTTATAAAAATGGAGAAAACTCTACGCAAATTTTGAACTGCCAATTGTGTATTTACCACAAAGAACAAATTCTCGGTTTCTGGTACAGCAGAATACGACTGCTTCCCAGAAATATTTAATTAGGACTGTGTAATTCTGAAGATTATGATGGACTGATCATGTAGCTAAGGTGAGGAAGGCTAGTAATAAACAGAGTTGTGGAGGAAAACCTCTTCAAAATGTCCATTTGGAAGATCAAGAAGGAGATGGGAGAATAACAAAAATACGAATCTTACAGAAACAGACTGTGAGACTCAAAAGCAATTAAAATGGTGCAGGCTCATGTCCAATGGCAGGCTTTGGTGTTAGTGGTGTTGAAACTTTAGGATATGCCAAGAAAGCACAAGTAAACAACAAAGCAATGTATGTGCATAACAATGCCTCTTTATTGTGACAGAAAAAAGGACATTTTGATACAATTTAAAGTAGTGTAACAGATAATATTAATGGTCAACAGAAGACTGTATCAATAAAAATAAGCAAAGAATACGCAGAACGGTAATAGGAGTTCATGAATGAACGAAGTAAAGCGAAAGTGGGTAACTTTTACTTACTGTGGAAATTATGAAGGTTGTAGAAAATCATATACAGGGCAGATATGAAAGGCGTTTAATATGAGGTACAGGGAAAGCATCAAAGTATTAAGATTCAAATTCACCTCACAAACAATGGGCAACAGCGATTATGGAATTCTTGTTATGACGAACCTATCCACAGCTTCCTACCGCTTGTAACGTCGCAGTTGATAGTATTTTTAGATCAATAACAACCTTTATTTTAGACTGCCACCATTAACTGTTCTGGCCGCATGGTGTCTCCTGGGTTGTCGCAGCATGTCTGATATTAGTTTACCGATATTTCAGAGGTATTTACCGCCTCCATCATGGCGGATAAATGCACCAGGTACCTCTGAAACATCGGCAAACTTCTACCAGACTACACGGCGCTACAAGCTAGGCTGAGTTTATCGGGGATCGAACCCCGGGCGTACAGTTCGATTCAATCACTATACTGAGTTTCTCCAGCTCCCCAATGTTGATACAGATTAGGCATGTAAATTAGAGTTTTTACGTGATTAGTAAGAAAGTTAGTATTTTAATATGTAATCGTTTTTGGATTACACAAGCTTGTAACACTGAAACGAGTGACAAATATTTAGCTAGAAGATGAAGCAAATGTTTATATAAAAATTATATAGCGATGTAATGAATAATGTATATTGTAAAGTTATATGGTGAAAAAATTGTCAGGCACCAAGGACCTTAGGGCTTATTCGTTTTATTATTTATAATTTTTCCTCTCTAGACAGCCTTGTTGTTTTATATAATGCTTTAATTAGGTCAAAGCTTGAGTATGTCTCGGTCGTATGGAATAATCTTACACAGACAGATTCTAATAAATTAGAAAATATTCAAAGAAAATTTGCCAGTTTGTGCAATTAAAGGATTTTTTCAGTTTAATATCCCACACAAATATGAATTGATTTTATCTACTTTAAATTTTAGAACACTTTATTCCAGACGACGACATCTCGATGCGTTAGTTCTTGTTAATGTCTTTAAGGGCAAAATAAATTGCAATTCCATTATGGACGCTGTTGGTTTACGTGTGCCGGCGAGGCAAATAAGATAATTTTCTACTTTTAGCGTGAGCCGTGCGCTAAGACATAGTCCTTCATCCAGGTGCGTCATCGCTGCAAATGACGTATGTAAATCTTTGGACGTATTCAGCATAAACATTGTCTCCTTTGAGGGCACGTTCTCAATAAGGGAAAAGATCTAGACAGGTTGTCTTGATAGATAATCTAGCTTGGTTATCTGTTTTTTTTTTTGTATTTCTTTAACGTTTTACAATTATATAAGTGTTCCCTAGGTGGATTATTTGTTTCTATTTATATTCATTCATTTATTTGTTGTGAATATAATATTGTTTCTATTTTGGGCTTGCCTGTATAGGCATTGGCTGATACATGTAATGCTGTACATGTAATAAGTTTAGTTAATCTGTTTATGTAATATCTTTCATTTTTATTTCATTATTATTGTATGTATTATCAGTGTTTGCCTGTTATTGGCAAACACTTAAATAAATGAATTGAATAAATAATTTATACGTTACCTAAACTTGCTGCCAAATATTGAGGCCATTTCTTACTGTCCACTACCGGAAGTTCTGTTGATTCCATCCCTTCTTTAACAGGATTTTCCATTGTGTGTAAATTCTTATTTCAGACTGCTTTATTATTTAAGTAATGAAAAATATACGCTGTTGTTCTCGAAACGCCTCCGCTATAAAACAAAGGAAGAAGATCATTAATACTACAGCCATTGTACCTTCTCTGGGACTGCGTTTTATATTAACTGACAAGATTTCAACTTACTGACTGAATTTGATTTTGAATGTGGGCTTATCAACTTCTAAGGCCATCTATTACTGAAGGGGAAAAAACCATGTCAAAGAATTGAACTGCATTATCACCTGCATGAAAATGTGGCAAAGACAGGTTATTAAACATAACAAGACTGGAAAGATGCATTCCGTATCGGAGTACACACACGAGTTCTTTGCAAATTCTGAATTCTACGCCAGTTATCCTACTTAGACAACTCCGGTTCCAAACTATATAAACTCACGTGGTCTTAGTCCTTTTCAAGAACCGTAAATTAATAAGAACACGTGATAAGGCGCTTTAGCTTTGTGGTAGAATACGTGACTCGTACGTACGGGGAGACAGCATCGAATACTAGCGAAGTCAAATTTCTTTTGTTTCATGCAGCCGTCACGTTATTTTACATTGCACATCATGCAGAAAAGAGTAATAAAAATATAACAATAATCACATACAAGACCACAGGCTTGCCAGTGGGATTGGAATTAAGACAGCACTGTTACCAAGACGTAACGGCGTTTCGATATTAATTTGCCAAGCCGTAAAAGAGCCTATCAATGCAAATGTACCTAACAATCTACATCCCGCTGTAACTTTGGTGTAACATCAAAATATTTCTACGTATCTCGCGCCGCGTTTCGCTTCTGTTCCTCCACCCGCAGGGGCACACGTGAAGTGGCTGATTTAGCAGCGCCATTGGTGTGGCCAAATACGCAGAAAAATATAAATGAGATTTCAGGTTCTCACGGTTGTGAGTATAAACATGGCTGTCTTCTGGGCTGTTACGCTGTGTAGTCTGGTAGAAGTTCACCGACGTTTCTGAAGTGCTTGCTGCCTCCCTCATCAAAATAATCAATAACCCAAGCCAAGTCCAAATTTTTCAGTCTGAGTCTAGATATTTACAGTATTTGTTCACATCCATCATTTGTCAGAAGTGTTTGTCATATTTACATAGCACATGACATTTTCCATTGATATACAAAGCCTCTGTCAGTCCAGACCCTGTATAGAAGATGACGCACCATTTCAACTTGGCGCCTATGCTGTAACGACAGTTAGGTCGCTCTAAAGGTCCAGTCACCAAGTTTAAGGGTCTTCTATTTTCTGTGTCGGGCTTCGCCTTGGCCTATGTTGCAAACATTTGGGTTATGCTGACTTTATATTGACTTCTGAATTATACCTGAAAAAATTGGAGATAATAAGGAATTTTCATGTATGATTTGAGGTTTTCACAGCGGTGAGTATGAAGATTTCGGTCTTCTGGGTTGTTGCGCTGTGTAGTCTGGTAGATGTTTAACAACGTTTCAGAGGTCATACTGCCTCCGTCATCAGGGCGATGAGGTCTTCACAGCGGTGGGTATTGAGATTTCTGTCTTCTGGGTTGTTGCGCCGTGTAGTCTGGTAGAAAATTCTGAGTTATAACAAGTGGAAGGAAACACGCAAATTGTAATATTTTTATTTTGTAAGCCATATCAGAACTATCGTATTTGAAAGTAAGTTCAGATAATAAGATCTCCTGATTGTTAAAGCAAAAGTATACAGCCCTACGATTAACCGGACACAAAATAAATATAAAGGTAAGCACGTGTAACAAAATGAGTGAAGAACAAATAAAACAGAGAGAGAGAGAGACAAACAATAAGAATATGAAGAAAATCAAAGAAACGAGCGAAGAAAGAAAGAGAAGACTAAATAATAAAAATGATAAAACGAGAAATCGATAAAGAAAGAATAATGTAAGACTACAGAGAAAGTACTGAATATGAGTTACACTGAAACTGGACCATAACGCAGCCTAGTGTATCAGACATCGGACAGAAAGGACATGCTGCATTTACCATATGTACGACGAGCAGTCAATTGACTGCACTGACAGCAATCCCTGTTACTTCGTTTCGGTTGAACTGACCTAGACCATCGCACGTCCTGGTTTCTTGGTGCTGCCACCTACGACAATGCTAAATATATTTTTTTCATGGGGTCTCGGGAAATACATGTTGTAACTAACTGCCAAAACTAGTTTAACATCGGTGTATAGCCAAATCGTGACGCACTACAGCAAGGGATTAGTTTCGTTTGGGATATTTTGCTTTGTGGGCTGTCATTTAAAGTAGACAGAATCATTCACACATACTGATTTATCTATCAGCCGACAGACATACATGCACCCAGTCCTTTGTTCTGGAACAGACGATCTCACTCATTCTGGTTTATAAAATCAAGGAACGTATCTTCGAATTGCCTTGGTCATACAGCTCCCACTAATGGTTCTCTCTTCCAGCACAGTAAGTAGTTCATGATTCAAATTAATCACACGACAAATATCAAGTAAATGCAGGATCTCAAATAAAGTCAAATTACTGATCACTGTTTCTGTACGTCTTTGTAACGCACGCGTACCTCAGCACGAATGATAAAACCACACATAAAAAATATTTCTCAATGTACGTTGCTATTCAGGGACGCCCAATCAGAGACAACCAAACACATTTAAATTGGCATCATCAGCACAATATTTCTGGAGGTTCGTTGAATAACCTTGTTGACCGTTTAAATTCACAAAACTTTCTGCGACAAACTTTTACTTGAACTGTTAGTATTCTGGCAATCAACCATCCAAATGTTGATATTCAGCCAAATGAAATGTGCGTCAAACCGAAGTGGCAATCGGCTATTTTGAAGACTTGTATTACCAAGAAAACCTCCATACAAATAGGTCAGATTCACATGTCAGTTAAGCACATCAAGATACTGAAGTTTAAAAAGTAAACACAATGCAGAAGAAGGAAACCGGAATCAGTGTACGTCAGTAACACGCAGCTTCAGTTCTGTGACAGTTGCAATAACTGAGAAACCGATCACATTATAATAAGAGCTATATTTTATTTGTCCTTTAAATTTATACTAGCTGAATGCCCGCATTGCTACAGAACAGAAATTTGACATATGCTTACATTTTCTGCCAATCCTTATTGCTCGAAAGTTTTACACAGGCCTTATAATTCGATACGCATCGTTGAATATCATAGAAAAAAATTATCCCTCATAAATCTTCATCGGGTATGGAAACCAGACAGACGTCTGGTCTGTGACCTTAGTTCCTGTAATCTCCTCACCGAATCAAACAGCTTTGGTCTTGGCGCTGTTATTCTATAAATAAGAACCAGATGGAGATGCTGCATAATTTGCGCTCTTTGCCAAAATATAAACCAGGTTAGATTTCAGGTTCTCACGGCGAATGCTATGAAGATGACTGCCTCCTTGGTTGTTACACCGTGTAGTTTGGTAGAAGTTTACCGACGTTTTAGAGGTGCTTTCTGCCTCCATCATTAGGGCCTCGAATTGTCGGTAAACGTCTACCACACTGCACGGCTTAACAACTCAGAAGGCAGCCATGCTCATAAGTAGAGCTTTATTTTTGCAAGGGTGTGGGATGGGTACAACATGTAGCACGCATAGAAGAGAGGCGAAATTCAAAAAAGCATTTCAACCTGAAGAACTGAAAGTAAGATACCATTTCGGAGACCTACGCGCAGATGTAAATGCAACTACACTTTCGGGCCCCATAAAATTCTGGAAATTTCTTTAGCAATAGAGCGACTATCAACTTCCCAAGGACGACTCTGTTCTATGGAATTAGACACTGCTATTACTACAGGCATGAACTACATTTAGACGAATTTTGCTTGCCCCTCAAAGCTAAGAAGCGTCTGTTATTCTTATCATTCAAAAAGTCCGCAGTTTTATTCTAACCCCCTTCCGGTTTCCGATTAATTTTTCAGTGAGTCTACGTTAAAAGTCATGGAACGAAAGTCGTTTTGACATAACGAAATACAAAAGACAGTAATTATGTTTTTTTACGGAGTGTAATATAAATATTATTTTATGAATGATATAAAAGTTAAGTGCATCGTCTATTCACCAGCTTAGCATGACATATTTGTATCTACAACAAATAAACACCAATATCAATTACGGGCACATTAACGCAAAGGACATATTTAGAAAGTCTATAAATTCAAATTCTGAAGTGAAGCGTTGGCCAGTTGAGTCTCGGAATTCAAACATTCTGTCACTTTATTGTACTGTACTATACATCTAAAAAATTAAACAAGCTACACACAGGAAATGCCTCTGACATAATCGTACGTAAGACATTTTCGTGAAGCCACTTCAATTATTACGGGAATGCCACTCAAATACAATCTTTGCATGCTGACGGTCTGAATCAGAGGTAAGCATAACGCTGAAGGTTGAATGTTTAATGATTACCTTGTCAACCTGTCTCCTTACTAATTAATCGATAGTAACCAAAAAATATAACGCACATCACATGGTATTTCACAGACTACAACGTATAGGCAGATGATTTTGCGTTGGAATACTATACAGTCAGCATCATATCCAACCGTTCTCAATTTCTAAACTACAAGGTACGGGGCCTTCCTAAAAAAAGTTGGAAGTTCGTCAGCTGGTTAAAACTTCCCTGTTTTTGTGCATAACGAAAATCCACTACCAAATTCATATGAGCCTACCAATGCTGAATGTTGTCCACACCCTCATACCGTATTTCTATAAAATTAGTTTTAATGCTAACCTCATATTTATGTCTAAGTCTACAAAGTGGTATCTTCTCTTACCTAATTTCCATATTCGTGTCGCATCTGTCCTAAGCGTCCTAAATGTTCGGTACATCTCATTCTTCTTAATTCTCGTATAATTATCCTAATGATATTCCGTGAATATATGAAGTAGAAGCTCCTGGTGAAATTACAGGTTCTCATGGCAGCGGGTATTAAAATGACTCTTATAGGAATTTGTGCCGTGTAATTTCGTAGAAGTTTACAAACGTTTCAGTGGTGCTGACTGCACGCAAAATCAGGGCGCAATATCCCAGAAACAGTCATCATCTTTATGAAGCTCTTCATTATGTAATTTTCTCCATTCCCCCAATACTTCCTCTCTTAGTACCCAACATTCTCCTCAGTACCTTGTCAAACACTCTCAATTAAATTTGTAAAAAGAATCGTTATTAGATTATAGATAACAGGAGAATGCGTTAACTTATGTTAACAAAAAATCTCAATTAGAAATATCGACCACCTACTTAGAAGACAATTGATGTTTAACAATACGGTCGAATAATTGAAAATGTTGGATGATACAGAAGACCAATGAAAAACTAGTATACATAGCAATTTAGGATTCAATTTACGATATTATTATAATACAAAGAAAATACAATATGACATCAAATGAAAGCAATCTCACAAACAAAAGTAGTATTTAACGTAACGTAAATTTGTAAAATAAGAGTTCATTTTTTTAAAGAAATTAGCAATGGGTGGGCACATTAAACCCTGTTGCTTAGAGTTTTAACACTTGCTTTGTTTTTTGAAGAGCAATTCGACGTGGTTTCTAACAAAAACTTATGGGCTACATTTTAAACTCACAGTCATTTTCGTAATGAGGTTTGTAGTTACATTAACATCAACCATAATTTTAGTAGCCTTGATACCGAACAATTCATCCAAGTGGTTTTCCTCAGTCCTTCCATGAAAATGACGGAATAGCATAAAACAACACACAATTACTGGCTCCCTTATTCTACATAATCATTCAGATATCATGCTACCATTAGGTACTATACAACCTACGCAGTTGAAAAGCGGCATTACATAAATAATGAAACCATCATTAGAAGCCACATCCATGTACATTTTCTCGTTTACGATGACAATAAAAGTATACGTCATTAGAAAAGTAGACAAATTTTAATTTTAAAAGATAAATTACCTCCCGTCCGACAAACATGGAGTAAATATTTAACCCAAGAATTACTGGCTTACATACAATAACTATGCAAGTTAAAAAGCTATCACAATGCATTTAATCCTTCGAAGTCGAAGCTCGTCTACATAATATTTAATAATTCAGTCCGTACCGCAAATAAAACACAACACTTCACCATTAAAAAGATTAGCCTGTTAATGCAGTTTACAAAAATAATCCACGTTTACAAAAACCCAAAATTCAGCGTTACTTATTATTAAAACAGGTGGTACATATAGTTACCACTAAGCTTAAGACACAGGCCTTCACAAATGTTTTCTCTAGCACGCGATTTTAAAACATTCAAAGAATCGAAAGATATACAACATAAATGTGAGAGAGGCATCTTCAAGACGGACACAGCTAATTTTTCTTCCTGAAAATAATAGCATATTGCCTAACCGTAGGAGGCAACGTCATAAATTATACATTTTTAACGTAAGAAGGAACAAACAAAATAAATCAGCATACTTCAGTATCCAGATTTCCGTCTCTGGAGGAACTTTGCTTTTCTCTGTATTATTTCTGTAATGATGCTTAAAGAACCTTTCGTCTTTGTTATGTTAATATATTGTGCAGCGGAAAGTCTTGATGGAGAAACATCAGTTCAGTTTATTGCTGATTACTTCGCTTACAAAGGCGCCCACATGATCACAACTTTCACATGCTCAAGTCATGGTACTTTGGTTCGCTTATTTGTGTTACATTTACATTAATATAAAGAACGTGGACAGATTAAAATTCAAAGGAGATTAGGAATAAAATAATAAATAATATGAGTAGCACAGATGTTACTAGCACTGTAACAACTAAATTATAATACCAGTAATTCAGCCTTAAATATATATATATATATATATAAAAAGACAGCCATTTTCGTACACGACATCGCTAGAACCTCAAATTTGATATTCATATATATGAATAAATTTGGGAAAGACAATAAGAAATATAAATGATTTTCAAAACAGAATCAAGAACACAGATTAAATCTGAAAAATATCTGCCACTGCTCAGTTCAGAAGTTATAATCCTATCGTGTCTTACGTAAAACCCTGTGATACAAATAAATAATATTACAGTCATAATTTTATTCTTATTTTGGCATGGGCGTGAAATTTGATCTCTCGCCAGAATTAAATATAATAAATAGAGAAAGTTTGGGAATATTTTTATCTAACAGGGAATAAGTAAAGAGACTGTAGAAAACTGGTTAATAAGGAGCTTAATAACTTGTTTATTTTTCTTGTACTTTGTATATCGTTCAGGTGTCACTAAAACCACGTTTCGGAAATTGGTTCTGCTCCAGTCTTCAGGAGAAAGGATGACAAAAGCCTAATCTACTGGGCCCACTGGTCGAGTTAGTCTCAACTGAAGCAGAATCAACTTGAGAAAAGTCGTGCTTTTAGTAACACCTACTCGATGGATACAGACAGTAAAACAGAACAATTTAACACCGCCTTGCACCACCGCGATGCATCGTCAAAAAAACTTCGAAGGTTGACCGAAAGTTTTTACTCATCAACAAAGTTATCGGGGAGATCGAATCAAGGAAAACGAAATTCGTGGATAGTTTCAGTTCGAATGCTGGAAGACACCGCACTACATTTACCAGATAACATGCAAATTCAGTGAAAGACAAAAAAATCCATGGTGGCAAATTTGCACTATTTGACTTCTTGAGGCAAGTAGCTTTGTTTGCTCAACATGTCTCTCACGGACTCCTATTCCTCAGATGCGCGGTATCTGATGTCTCTTACGAAGACGTCACCGACTGCGGCAAATTTTTGGACGGTGTCGGTTACTGCAGAGAACGGAAATTTCTCTCACGAAGGAACAAAAAGGACACGCAATGTTTTGAACGCCGCCGGCAATGTTCATGGCGTATTTCTCGACTATGGCTGTGCGACCAACAGGGACATATTTACACAGGTAAGTACAAGATGACTGCTTCTGTAAGTTGCGATGAAAATTTCACAAGCCTAATTTCACGGGTTTTAGAACTCTAGTAATCTTTATAATTACTGGCATATTATTTTGGCTGCTCTCTTTTAGGACAGCGTTGCTAACAGATACGGTAGGTAAATACTGCGTGATTAAACTTCGCTCAAACTAAGACACCCACCAAAATTTCAACGACACGTATATGAACGTGTGTTCCATACTCCAAAATTCCGTCTTATTTACTTAATAGTACTACTATCTACTTGGTAGATCGGTGATCATTAATTTGAATCATACCTAAGTGATCATGAACCCCAGATGTAATCACATTCGTCGGTAAGAGTTAATTATTGATACAAGAAGCTTAAAACTAACTTACCCCCATAAGTTAGCACACCCGTGAAACAGACACCAATTCCATTCTGCAGTAAATGTAATGGCTGCACAAAGTCGGGTACAAAATTATTTTGGACATAATGAGCATCTGTGATATCTCCAGACAGGAAAAAATAAATAAAGGCATAACTTCGGCTTTCAGGGATGAGCCGTGTCGCGGAAAGCCGAAGTTCAAGATTTAACTCCAGCCGCGAAAACCTAAAAACAAGAAGAATAAATACAATTTTATATCTGCTTCCAGATGTCTGACAAATTTTTGCTTAACGCCAGCTTCAACTGGTTGATTTGGAGCACAGACGGGCTGTCAGGCATGGAAAACGTTAATCTGAATATTGACAGCGACGTGACCTGGGCGACTCCGGATACTCCACGTGGATTGGTATTGCTGTACGATGTATATAAAGTAAACTATACCTGGCCGGTGATTTCAACACTTGCTGGTCAATGGAACAGAGACAATGGTCTGGTCTACACACTCACTCAGTTCAAATACTTACGAAGAGGGGATCTGCAGGGCCTCCTCTTCAATGCAGCTGTTGCGGTAAGACGGTGCAGCACTGAAAGCAACAAGAAAGAGACACAAAGTTTATCAATTGCAGTGACATGTACAGACATGAAAACATCAGTGGGGTTGTATGATTTGAGGTTTTCACAGCGGTGTAGTAAGGTAGATGTTTACCAACGTTTCAGAGGTCATACTGCCTCCGTCATCAGGGCGATGAGTCGGCACTTTTAAACCCCTAATCAAGAAAACAAAAGGAAATTTCACTCTCAGGCCTACATCAGCCAACAAAAGAAAATCCATAGTCAATATGAGTGTTCTCTAAAGTGTAAGATGTTATTACACCGTGTACTTCGTGTTTTTCAGGTGAGTGACTCACCTGGAGACGACATAGAACGCTGGCTTAGCAGTCCGGTAGACAGACACCACATGGACTCCATTGCAAAGTACAACTATGCGCTGCACCGCCAACTCGGAGACCGATTTAATTTCACGTACGTATGTGCAGCTCATGGTCAGGTACCTCGCGCTCAAACGAATTCTCTGCTGCGCACAATTTTATAATTACTTATCATAAACAGGCTTAGTAAATACACAACAGTTGCGTTTATCAGTGGAAAATACCGAGTGGATCTTACAATGATCGCTTGTAAGGACGCGAATTGGACTGAACTTGCTCAAGACAGGATCTAGTGCTGGGTTCTTGCAAAAACGATAATGCTTTCGGATACCATATAAGTGGAGTGTATCTTGGCCAGGTAAGGGACTGTCACTTTATCATGAAGGACTATGTTCTATGGAGTTATGCTAGAAAGTGGTCTGCCGGATGTTGAAAAATAAAGACAACGTAATAGCGTACGAATAAAACTCTGTATCTAACTGTTGGCGCATTATTTTAATCGTTTCTCTTATTAATACGTACACTGAAATAAGCCACAGTGTCTCTGCACGATCTCTGCTGATCCAATTGATAACGGGGCATTTTATCTGGGAGTGGACTCGCTAAGTTCAGGCTGACCATTAACTGTGATACGGTGATATCGAGAATCAGCGCGGCACTGCCTCTGCAGTCCCCTGATTGATCATAAGCATAACGATCACTTTTACTTGCTATAAAATGAATATGAATGCAAAAGTATTTCAACATTAAACATAAAATAAACATAAATTAATAAATTATAAAAATTCTGCTCAGAACTGGAATTAAATCAGGAATTTAAACTATGCAGTAATTCTTCAGAAGCTGACACTCACTCAGATGGAAATTTCGGAAGACTCTTTACAGTGTTCATGATAGCCCACCACTGGACAATGGACTAAGCCAAATGAATAAAGTCTAAACTCATATATCTTTCGTACTTCACAGAGATTTTAATGTTGCCTCCATATCGAAAAATAAATCTCCCAATGGTCTGTAACCTTCAGGAATTCGACCAAAATTTGAAGAAAAAATCTCAAAAGCGCATAAAAATCAAAACTGATGGGTTACTTTACTACAGCTTGGGATAGTAACAGCGAAGCATATACTTTTATGTTTATCCGAAAGAAGAATGTTAATGGAAGAACAATCATTTATGACTAACCCGTGAAAACAGTCTTTGATTTTTATCTTTCTGCAGAATGCAACTGCACGCCACTTATTCACAAGGTTACCCTGATTCCAATGGCCAATTTGACGGGATGTTGGGCATGCTTCAGAGAGGAGAGGTGCAACTTGGCATTACGTCACTGACTATGTTGCCTCAACGTTTCGAAATTGTCGATTTCACTGGGCCGACATGGAAATTCAGGTCAGTGTCAATTTATGGATTACTGACTAAATAAACTCACACGTTAGTTTAATCGAGATGCAGTCCAGAACAACAGCTTATTACAATTTCGTCTTCGACTGATTTCTTGTTCGTTTCGGTCAATAGAGAACTAGTTACGAGGGGCATGTACCAAGATGTGAAAATAAGACCATTTAAACAGTAAGGTTAAGTAGAAGAACTAATGAAAATCTTATTATAAGTTTTAACAAAAAACACAGAGTATTTGTATTAAATACTTATTTATATGTACATAATCACAAAAAAGATGCCGATACGAAAATTGGTAAGGTTGCATCTAACATACATTCTGTACGTCCCACAAATATAAATTACGGACAGAAAAGGATAGGTAAATTGTATTCTTTATTAATGACTTAAGTTTCTTGTTCGTTTCGCCACAAGAATTCATGCATTTGACGAAAATAAGGAGTAAAATTCTTCACAAAACTTCTTGTTCATAAACGCCTTAGAATGGGTGCTTTTGGATACAGGACATCCGTTTTGTTTCGACATCCACGGACCACGGGCACAAGCTACTCTCTGCTGAAACCATTCACGAAGACTGTATGGCTGTATACTCTTCTCTCGTGGGCCCTCATGATGGTCACAATCCATCTCGTCAAATGGTTGGAGTACCTTCGCCAGCGCGATGACCACCAGCCTTCCAGGTCGGACTGTGATCACTCCTGGGGTGCAACTATTCTCACCATCTTCGGCGCTATATCTGAACAGGGTAACTCTTATTATTCCTCGGTATAGCCCTGGTAGCCGCAATGGATCACTCACAAACATGTCACAAGATTCTACTTCGTAAGTGAAGGTCGAGTAGCCTGACCTCAGAATTTAAATTGCAATCTTCCTTTCTGCGAAGGTAGGTAAGCAATTTAATGAAATTTTATGAAGTTTCGACAAAATAATAACGCAGTAGTCAGGCATATCTTATTTATCTACGCTGGATGAAGCTTACTACTGCGGGATCATTCTAACTGCTCGTTATGGCCTCCGAATCGATGAGGTGAGATATAAAGTTAATGAACCCGAATATTTTGTCAGGTACCGAGATGGAGTCGAAGTGGATGACGTGGCGGATTGTGTACCTGGTGACCCTCGTGCAGGTGGTGCTGCTTAACGCGTATTATGGTGCTTGTATGGTGTCGGACCTTCTACAACCTCCACCTAGAACCATTCACACCGTGCGCGACCTCATCAACAGCAGACTTCACGTCGGTTATGTGGACAACCGCCACAACCGCGAGTACTTCCAGGTAGAGAACATAAGAAGCCCAGGCTGTAATTCGAAAATTATTAAAATATCCTAGAATAACAATAAAAATACGAAACAAAATTGGAATCTGTTATAAAATCAAGGGGTTAAGGGGTTGTCGCTTCAGATAATGATTTCATCCTTTCTACATTTCAAAAAGCACTATGGCTATACGGAGCAGATAAGCTAATATTCGCTCAGGTCGCATGGATAATTCCTGCGCACAATTAATTACCATACTCATAAAAGTAGGTCACCGAACCATACCCTGAGCCAGCTAAAGCAATTCCACATCCTCACATATAATTCCTTTAAGATACATTGGCATGAGAGACGAGAAAATTGATACATTATCATTAAATATCGCAATAAACAATCAGCCATGATACAGACAAACAAATGCTAACAAATCTATTACATTTTCAGGACATTACAGATCCAACGCTGAAAGAACTGTACAGCAAGAAAATGAAACCACCGCATGCTTTCCCGGTTAGCACTGCCATAGAGAAACTGCATAAGGAACCATTTGCTGTTCACGATGAGGCCATCAGTCTGTACCCAACCATCGAACAGACTTTCAACAACGAAGACAAATGCGCCATCACAGAAATCGTGCTCTTCTCTCCAAGAATGACGTACCCAGTAATTCACAAGAGATCGCCGTATCGCAGGCTTCTGTCATATGGGTACGTAAAATTAATCTTAGCTATGCACCAAATGTAAACATTATCAGGCGCAAAGAACTCTGATCAGTGTCAAAAATAAAGGCCAATTGAATTCTTCTTCACATGACACAAAAACTATGGGCTTAACGATTTGGTAACTTACAGCGACACATTTATTCTAGACCGATAAATAATACTTCCATTGTATTTTCTTATATGGGCACCACTTCGATAAAGTACCAAATAAAGATCAGATAACTCACTGAAATTGTGCTTCATGCCACGTATAGATAGAATGTTTTATATAGTACGATAAACGTTTCTGAGGATGTCTGTGAAGTTCATTTCGAGCTTCATGCGAAGTACATAGGACCGACACGAACAAAGCAGAAATTCTTCAGGCTGTTTTTTGACACACGTAAATTATCAAATTTTGCCATAATTATTTGAGAAGTTTCGGAAATAAAATTTGAGGACGAGGTCACAGACTCGTATTCAATCAATTTTTTTTTCAAGTGGACGTATACTATTGCCATCAGGTTTCATAAGTTGTGGGAAACGGGGACTATGGCTCGCGAGCTGCTGATGTGGCGCCCAGAACCGCCGAAATGCCAGCATCTGGACAACTTCTACAGCGTTGATATGGAGGGCGTCGCTGTCGCGTTTCTCATCTTCGTATTCGGTGTCATCACTGGATCCGTCATTCTGTTCTTGGAGCGTCTTCAGGATTTCAAGTAAGAAGACCAGTCGGTTTCGAAAAAAAAAACAATATCATGTTTAGTCTTGTTTAACATTACGACGGTGACTGATGGTATCTGAACTCGAGGTAATCAGGAGAAGTAAAGAACAGGTGTAATGTGGTGGCAAGATGATCTCGTGTTTAGGGGTTACGGAGCTACAACATTATTCGCGAGAAAACAGTAGACTACCAAATACCCACTACACAGGAGGTTGAGTCACCCCCAAAGCCGAAGTGGTGAATTAAAAAAACTGAACCCCCAGAGTCCTACAAATCCCGTGTTCTTAACGAAAATTTAGAAAGTGTAGGATATGTTTATAATCCAAGCGAAAGTAATTCTGGCCATGGGTTAGAGCGACTGGTTAATCCCCAGTTGGCCAGACAACCGAACCGCACTCAGATTACGCTTTTAAGAGATTCTGCGAGGAAGTTGCAGAAATAAACTGAAGCCTCGTCATGTGTCTTAATCAACTACAGAACTGCTGCCAAATTTCAATTAAATATCATACTCAGCAGCCTTCCCAAAACGTGTCTAGACATTCCAAGCAGACAAAAATATTAGACGCTACATGAAGACTACGTGCAGTTCAGCGCCATCTGGATATACTATATAAAGATTTCTGTCTTCATACTCACCGCTGTGAAAACCTCAAATCATACATGGATATATATACTTACTATAACCGTCCACCATACGTTCGGTTTGCTCAGCTAGCTCAGGGGACTCGGTCGCTAACGGGGATCGAACACACAAGAAAGTAACAATTGTGTCGAACTCCAAATATCTTTATTGCGTCCCTCCTTTTAGAGAGTACACGCTAATAATAAATCTGGTCTTCTTCCTTGAAGAGACTCCACAATAATCATCGCTTCCTTCCTTGAAGAGATTCCACAGTCCTCATTAAAAGAACAACTCAAGTACATAATCATAAACATGTTAGATATCACGAATAGACGCAGAGTGGGCGTAAGGACATCAAAACAACGTCCGGCCAGTTATAGTACGAGGCGCGTTCGCAATGTTATTGCCTTGGATTGTCAATTCATGCATACCAACTTTTGACGCTTTCTTATAAGCAACGTACAACAGGAGGGGCAGACGAACAAATACATCATCAGACATCAACATCGGTCCAACGGGTTATTTTATAAACACAGCATAAACGTCCCCCTTTTTAATTACCCCGACAACCGTCAGCCACACAGAAAAGTGTATGGGGCGACAAACGTTTAGTAACTACAACTTTAGTTCACGAATTATTTGCGTTTCCTTTTACAGAATGACCTCTACCTTGGAGTGTATGTTTTTTTTCCAGGTGCTTCTGGAAGAAGAAAGATGAGTAGATAGCTGCACTAACTATGTTTACAATGTACAAGAACGCAACACTGAATCACAACAGAAATAACAAGACATGCAACTCGACTTCAAAACGTATTTCGTCTTCTGCAACAATGCAACTTTGAGTTATTTCGAGCCTGAAATTTAGATGGAGATTTCTGTCTCCTGGGTTGTTGCGCTGTGTAGTCTGGTAGATGTTAACCAACGTTTCAGAGGTCATACTGCCTCCGTCATCAGGGCGATGAGGTTTTCACAGCGGTGAGTATGAAGATTTCTGTCTTCTGAGTTGTTGCGCCGTGTAGTCTGGTCGATGTCACCAACGTTTCAGAGGTCATACTGCCTCTATTTTTAGCCCTGATGATGGAGGCCTCTGAAACGTTGGTAAACATCGACCAGACTACACGGCGCAACAACTCAGAAGATGTAGATGATTTATATAATCTGCTTCCTTCATGTAATAAATATGGATATGTTATTTCAAACAATGGTACTAGCTTATTGTCCAAATACTGTCACAAAATCTTACGATTAAAACAGCTTTCATAAACGTTTCATTTGCTGTGAAGAAATATAGTATGGACTAATGTGATTATCAAACAAAAAAATACTATTCGATACTTTATAATGAGCTACTGAAAGCGTCCTTAAATAAGCCAAAAGTCATCATAGGACTAAGGCTATATAATAACTGACGGCGCCGCGTTAAATGGAACTAGACACTGGCGTTTGTTTCCTGACAGAAGAGGGAATTCGGCCGCGTCGGCCTGCTCAGATTCACTGCCAGAAAGGGGACAGGGGGAATTATGAATTCACTTTCGGTTCACAGTAAGCTAAACCAAAGAAAATGACAGAAATTTTAAGGCGTGCTCCAGCATGGTGTGACATTATATTATGAATAAATTCTCTGCCATTTTACATACCGCATTCACATTGCCACTCATTTTATTGCAGATTCAAGTCTATTTTTACAAACTACAGAGACCAAACTGTTGCCTATCCACCCATCTTTGCATTAATAAGGATCTTAAAATAAGTGTCAAAGAGAGGACTGGATACACGTGGCTAAAGATGAGGTCCAGAGTCTGGTCAGCTTTAATGAAAGAAAGTCAATGGATTCTAAAAAGGAGACCCTTAAATAAGATGGAACAACGGAATACGGCTGCAAGGATTCAATATTGCGAATGGTTTCATAGTTTTATTCGTGGAGGGGGTTCATGTGTAGTAATTAAGATCTGCGTTTTAAACGGTACTGTGTATTTCACGTAAACGTTTCATTTTCTTTGTGTGAATAGCACAAATTCGTGCAATTACCTTAACTTTCATGGATACAATGCGCCACACATAACTGTCTGAGAAGTTGCCGTACCGGCACGGCGAATACTGTGGGTCCCGTTTTCTTGCAACAGGTATATCAGCTCGGCTGTACTGCATTACAGCCGCGTATACGAAATAGTTCATAATCCGTTTCAAGGCCAACCACGAAATACCAAACATGTACACAAAACACACTGAATGTTCTCTTTTTAATTCCGACTTGAATTGAATATGTAGATATTTTACTGTGTTCTGATTTATGACGTCATACAATTTTATGAGGAACTTACCGCTTCTATCTTGCGTCATAATCCAGGAGACCACAATGCAAATAAATTTACCTATATAAAACAATTTTAAGAAATTTAATAGTGAAGAAAGTTAAATGAAAATATTTACAATTATATTTAACTGGAAAAGGCATTAAGTAGGGCCTGAGGTTCTCACGACGCTAAATACGAAGATGGCTGTCTTATTCTGGATTTCAGAGACGTGTACTACTTGCTGCCTCCGTCATCGACCTGACGACGGAGGCAGCAAGGACGTCGGAAACGTCGGTAAACTTCTACCAGACTACACGGCGCTACAACCCAGAAGTTAGGCAATGCTGAAAGAAGGCAATACTTTAGAGCAGTCGTATTCAACCTTTTTTGTTCGCGTACCCCCAGATATAATTTCTCTTCAACTTTGTACCCCCAAAGTTGTTGGTGTATAATTTAAGTTATATATAGTATATAATCTACATCTAAAATAATTCAATAAATTACATTACTGATTATTCAGTGTTTATCATAAAATAATATATATATATATTTTTTAAAATTTCACGTACCCCCTAAGATATCCCCAGTACCCCCGGGGGTACGCTTACCCCAGGTTGAATACCACTGCTTTAGAGAATGCGTGTTTTCCTTGTAACTGTGCAGCTGCTGCAAAAGATCTCCCAACACGCAAAATGAACCGTGACCTAATATTTAAAAACACAGGAATATCCTATGTACCTTTCCTTAACAAGTGCCGATGGTCCGTGTAATAACACAGACATGTAACGTCGTGACTAAACAGTCTGAGTGAACAATTCTTTCAACATATAACACTGTTACAATGTACAGTCTACATTACATTAAACATAAGGACAGTGAATGGATATTTATAGTGGAATGTCACAGGAACATACCTGTCTACCTTCCTACCCAACAAAGACAAGACTTCCATGCGATTCCTTAATATTTAATTGCTCGTATGGTATGAGAAAGTATTCTATTTGTCTATGAGACATACGACAACAGTAATAGTGTATGTGAAACATAAGAACAGAATAAATGGGAGTACAGAGTTAGAACGTAAAATTCAGTCTATATTTCACTGTAAGATGTGTTGACCCTCTAAACGCTAGACCAACTAATATAGAAACTTCAATCATGATTTTTAATTGAATATATTACAGTGCGCAAAACCGGAGAAAGATTGTAAACGGCGTAAAGTATAAAACTGTGGTCCATTTTAAAATACTAGCCTAGCATTCTCTTCAATACAAATGACAAAAACATCAGTAATTGCGAATTTGCAACCTGGGATTGTTCGATTCTGAACAAATGCCGACCCCTGCACCATATTATTCGATGATAACCGATACAGTGAACAGTCAATTACATAAGGGAGGAAGAGATATTAATGAACAACTGCGTTCTCAAGGACACGACATTCTGCGTTGGAAGTCGGAGACAATGTTTGAAAAGAGGATTCTTAGAGTTATGGGAGACGTCAGCTGGAAGTTGCGTGACGACCACAACAAATGTAATACGTCAAAAAGAATACAAAATAAAGTTTCAATATTTCAGTCTGGGGACAAAATTACTGTTGCGAGCAGCAAAAGCTTTTGCTGTAATTAATAGTGAAAACAAAGACAAATTCCAGACCCTTCGGAACGACAAGCGCCCTGGTCTATTCAACTTCCAGTTCGTTTATTGGGCACGTAAATTTTTAATGAATAATAAAATCACTTGCTTTTAGCGTAGTGCCTCTAGTAGAATTCACGAAGGTAAAAATGATTTAAAACAAGATGCTTTGTCACTATTGTGCTATTTCATGTTCTCACGGAGGCGAGTATGAAGACGGCTCTTTTGGGATGTTGCACCGTGCAGTCTGATAGTCACTGACTGGTTACTGCTTCCATCATCAGTCACTCATTGTTCTCTAAAATGTCGGTCAATATCTAGCAGGGTGCATTATGCAACATCTCAGAAGACAAGCCAAGCGGTCTTCATAACTGTAACCGTCAGAGCCTGAAATCTACCAGCACTAGAGTCTATAATAAATTATGCGCGGCTATATAGCAAAATTTTTTAAAGGTACTGACCACTGAAGATGGCTGTCTTCTGGGTTCTCTAGTCTGGTAGAAGTTTACCGAATTTTAAGAGGTCCTTGCTGCCCCCATCATCAGGGCGATGATCATCTTCTACCAGACTACACGGAGCAACAACCCAGGATACTCACCGCCGTGAAAAACTGAGATCATACGTATTGGCCATTCATTATGTATAGGCCTACATAGGTCCAACACACATCCAAAAGGCAATACTTAGGTTTCCATTAAAGCACTTCTGTACTCTGTCGTACTATTCATCTTGCATTAGTAAGAATAAGAAAAATTATGATAGAAACCGTTTTAGAAATACGTCCTGTCGAGATATATAAAATGTAAATATACCGTGCTTATAAAACTAGCCTTCTACTAATGGCTATTCCTTTACAATTTTAAATCTTCCAGTAAATATTGTTCTTGACATGCAACGTCAGTTCCAGATTGAGCAATGAAATTCTAATGTTCATCGCATTTCTATAAGACGCTGTACACTTCCTCAAATGAAGCGAAGAGTGGCATTTATTACAAATATTTCTAGACCATTCACAGTTGAGTGAAGGAGCGAGCATGTTTGTAGCAGTTAAAGTAATAACCGTGCTCTTTACCCTCTTCTTTGTTCAGTACTCAGTGGTTGTCAGTCTGGACAGTTCAGTAATAGAATTAGCAACAGATTTCTTCGCATACAAAAGAGTTCGAATGGTTAGAAGCTTCGCATGTAAAACGCACGGTAGGTTTCAATAACCCTTTGTTCTTAAAGTAGGAAGGCTTAATGCCACCAAAACCAAATTATGCCAATAGATAAAATATTTCAGGTTCTCACGGCGACGAGTATAAAGATGGCTATCTACTGGGATGTTGCACTGTGTAGCCCGGTAGACACTGACAGATGCTTAAGAGATCATAAAATAGTGACAGTAATAAACAAAAAGAGAAATAAATATTACGAACAGCGTAGCAACGGGAAATAACAAATACGTAACAAAAACGCTGAGAAACATCTTTGTACTGAAGACCAATGTTCTCCACTCAAAAATTGGGGTATCACGTATGAGTAAAACGTGACTTACCAACGGGGCCACGTACGTCCAGGTAAATCTTGTACTCTACGTTGGAGTTCATATGACAGGTTGTATGTACGCCGAACTACAGCTAGAGCTGATATTAAAATAATTAAATCATATTTGTTATGGCCTTCCATGTCATATTTAGTGAATATTTAAATATGCAATATCGGCACTCTTTTGTGGAAACTATGTTAGAACGTCACAGGGACGAGCCCTTAAAAACCAAAGAAAAAAGTTGCAAGTGATAGATCCCGAAATGTCATTTATTACGCACACCGTATTATATTTTTTCTGCAATTTTAATCATGTATAATGCAAGCATATTTACAACATGTGAATAATTAATAAATGCTGTGAAGTAATATAAGTCATTAAGTACATTAGAGGTTTTTATTGATTGACCTCTCTCTGAAAGTTCCTCCCGCCCCCGGGATTTCATTGTATCCCTCAATCCTGAGAATTTACTCCCAGGAATGTTTGGCAGAATCACTCAATACGATAAATCGTAGAGACCGAGGTGCACACAGTGTAATTAGAACTTACGACCAGCAATGCGATTACAAGTCACTCCCCGTTTACTTACAATTGATATTTGCTTGTGTTGATTAACAAATATTAATTAGTATGAGAGCAAAGGGCGCTTCAACATATACGAGTGACTGTTTCTGGTCGCTATTTTATAAGACGGCTTTCAATGGTTATATCTTTCATATTCTAGATTCCATCTTGCTCGCAAAATCGTTGCAGTCTTCTGGAAATATTTGGAATGTTTTAAGTAAACGAAAAGGTTCAGCATTTCCAGAAGAAGATCCATATGCCAAATGGAAACCGAGCGCTGATACAGCAGATTATTACAAGTTTGGAATATTTATGGACTTCGATTGTGACTCCAGTAAAGAAATCTTTAATGAGGTAAATATTTTATTTATAATTCGTACGTTCATTCATACTCGAGTTCAGTATTTGTCAGCAGCACAAAATTTTATATCTTCATAAAATCTAAATTATTAAATTATGTAACACAGCTCCCATGGCAACAGCAGACTACCGAGATATTCGCGTTCAGCTTGCAGACAATGAAAGCCCTTCCTTTCGGCACATGCTTCCTGTTTTAAGTATTGGAATGTATATGCCGATTTTGTGTCTAACAGTAGGTAATAGAATATTCAAGTATACCAAACTGCGGCTGTATCGGTAAAGAAATATCAGAGAAGGAATCCCACTGCTGACGCCCGGCATTCATGTCACTGAGAACCTGCAAACAGTCTGAACTGTTTTCAGAGTTGTGAACAGCTTTACCTGAACAGCAGACACCACTGGCTTCTTTGGAGTAATGACCATTATACGAACATCAAGTATGCCAAACTCAACGTCGACAGTGAGGTGACTTGGGCAACTCCGGACTCCTCGCAACATGGAGTGAATCTTTATGACCTTTACAAGATCAATTTCACATGGCCCATCTTAGGAACTCCCGCAGGACACTGGGACGAGATTGGTGGGCTCGTCTACAATATAACAAACTCCAAATATCTGCGGAGAGGCAACCTGCATTGTCTGAACTTCGACACAGCTATAGCGGTAAAGTGACTTCACATGGTGGCCGATAAAGTATCATTGGGCCGGACACATTGGTGTCCACACACTCGTACCTCTAAGAGGAGGACGTTAAATCTTGTAAATACCAGCATTAGCTGATTCTGAACTGAGGCTATATACGTTACGTTATTATTTATATATTCTGGGGTACAGGTGTACAACTACAGCATGGCAGTGGATGACGTACACGAACACCTTATAACGCACGAGGAGAGCAACTTCACAACGATAATGACGAAGGCCAGCTACGCGCAGCTCTGCATGCTGGGTGAGAAGTTCAACTTCACGTAAGTGCAGCCTCTAACACTAGTCCTTAGGGCAGAAATGTTTCTTATCGAGAAAAATACAGTTCTGCTGTCAGCACATAGCATAGCGTATTCCTAGGGGAACGGGGATAACAGAATCGATACGAAGCAGCCAGGTGTAAGCGGGAGGGGGGGGGGCGTAGCTAGCATAAAATTTTGCAGAGCAAAAATAGAACACCTACATCACACGTTAAGAATTTCTATATGACATAGGCCTAATAAACAATTCTGACAAATGTGAAATTTTTGCGTTTCATCCAACACCGTTTCGCATTTTATTATTATTATTATTATTATTATTATTATTTATTTGACTGCAAATGGGTTTTTACCCGGTGGCAGTGGTCCTACAATAAGACACAAAACAATAAGACACAACAAAACAATAAGACAGAACAAAACAATAAGACACAAAAACATAAGACAACAAAAACAATAAGAAACAACAGAACAATGAGACAGAACAAAACAATAAGACACGAAAAACAATAAGACACAACAAAACAATAAGACACAACAGAACAATAAGACACAAAAAACAATAAGACACAACAAAACAATAAGACACAACAGAACAATGAGACAGAACAAAACAATAAGACACAAAAAACATAAGACAACAAAAACAATAAGAAACAACAGAACAATGAGACAGAACAAAACAATAAGACACAAAAAACAATAAGAAACAACAGAACAATGAGACACAACAAAACAGTAAGACAAAAAGACATAAGACACAACAAAACAATGAGCCAGAACAAAACAATAAGACACAAAAAACATAAGACAACAAAACAATAAGACAACAAAACAATGAGACACAAAAAACATAAGGCACAACAAGAACAATAAGACACAACAAAGCAATGAGACACAACACTACAGTAAGACAAAAAGACATGACACAACAAAAACAATGAGACACAAAAAGCATAAGGCACAACAAGAACAATAAGACACAACAAACAACACACCACACTCAAAATAAAACAACTCATAATATTACAAAACCGTATAACCTAAAGTACATAACTTAAAAATTCAACTAGACATAAGATAGTAACAGAAATGAATTACATACGTCATGAACTGATGCACTCACATTTCATCAGGGCCTTCTCTACACTTCACTACACTTATGAAGCCTTCCCATCCTCACCCCAATTTACCCCCCTTCACTGCACCCACCCATCTATTCCCTTTACTTCACCTCATTTATCACTTTCCTAACCTTCTTCCTAAACGTACTTGGTTTACAGGAGAGAGTCCCTAAAACCTCAGCAGGTAGCTGGTTCCAGAGTTGGATGGTCCTATTTACAAAGGAATATTTTCCGATATCTGTTCTTTGTTTTCTGCTCCTAACTTTCCGAATATGATCGACTCTGCTCAGGTAGTATGGCCTTTGCAATCTGTCACCTATAGCTTTCCATGCCCGATCTCCCGTGTACGCCTTGAAGAGAGCACATATTCGTGCTATCTTTCTACGCTGTGCCAGGGTTTCCCAGTTCGAATCGCTCCTGTGATATGCAAATTTACATGCTTTCCTTTGCACCCGTTCTAACGCATTTATCTGCCCCTCCCTGTAAGGATCCCAGCACGCCGCCCCATATTCCAGAATCGGACGCACTAGTGATGTGTAGGCTAGACTTTTAGTGTTACTATTCCCCTTTTTGAGAACACGCATTGTAAAATGAAGTGCCTTCCAGGCTTTCTTCACCGTATAATTTACTTGATCAGCCCAGCTTAAATCGCTGCTTAAGAGTATTCCCAAGTATTTACAACTGCTCACTTCCGGAATTATTTGGTCTCGTAACAAATAGTTTAGTGGTTCCTTCACCCGACTTCTCTTGAAACTAACTGCTTTACTTTTACTTGGGTTAATTTTCATAAGATTTTCAGCCGCCCATTCCCCCAGACAGTTTAGATCCATCTGCATGTACATTTCCATGTACATTTCTTATGCTGTAGCAACTATACAGATCCATTCCCGTTTTCAAACTCGATTTAAAATGAACTCCAAAACTTAAAATTCACGCAGAGTGACAAGTTCCCTTACTTAAACGCATTATTTGTTATTACAACAAAACCATTTCTTTAAATTCACTTTATTTATAAATTTGTTCACGGAACGCTGTCAGCAAGCACTAATGTATGGTACAACTAAAAGAATAAAGGGCTATTTAAATTAATATATTGTGCATTATAAACTACGTAAAACTACAGGCTACAGGTGTCCGAACTGAAAAATGTTAATAACCTCTATTTTCATGCAACATGGAAGGCATTTAAAAAATGTCCATTCTGTATGTGTCAGTATGACTTTGCTGTTGACCGATACGTCGAACTTTGCCCCTTTCGAGAACGGTTCGTTTCAAGGCCAGATTGGAATGATGCAGCGAAACGATGCAAAACTATCTCCATCCCCACTCCTGTTCTACAGAACTCGGGAAGCGGCTGCAGATTTCGTGGCACCAACATGGAGTTTCGAGTAAGTACAATTCTCCGTAACCATCATTACGTATTACCACAAGCCCTTGGTTAGAGAAGTGAAAAAGCACATAAGAACAGAGTCGAGGGGGACATTGCAGTATTTAATAGTCATTTACATTAAAACTGGATGCAATTTGTAAGATCTGTGGAAACTGGAACTGAAAATATGAATGTGACGTAGCACAGCGGCCATGTTCCGGCACCCCAAGGTTTCGGCTGTCCGGAACGCCTTGCTGCAGCCGTTCACTGCCACAGTGTGGTTGTGTTTTCTGGGCACGTGGCTGTTGGTCCTGGTCACCCTCAAGGTGTCCGCCTGGCTAGAGTCAACTTACGATTCCGACGAGTCCACCACAGTAGAGAGCTCTTGGAGTGCAACCATGTTGGCCACCGTGGGAGCCGTCAGTGAGCAAGGTTCATTTATCAATGCGATTCACGGACCGGTTAAACAGCCTTTTTCAACTATAATACCTGTTACCGTTGCGATGGGGTCAGAGTATGTTTCTATGGAACTGGTTCTCTAACAGGTCCTATGTCCATCCCCCAGTTAATACATGGGTAAAAACAGAGCATCGGTGGAAAGATACTGACAGGAGAAAACGAATGACTTAAGAGGCACTCGTTCCAGTGCCATTTCGTCCACCAAAAACCCCACAAATCTTCGGCGACTAACCGACTGAGTTGTGGTACGTCCAACTAAATCATTAGGCGCTAGCACATCTAAACATGTCTGTTTACATAAACTTAACATTTTTAGAGGCATTAAAATCACAGAGACGTTATCACCCCCACATAATTTCGCCACTTGAAATTACATACGAGGGCATGAAATAATGTCACAAATAACAATGGTAAACGACAGCAACAAAAGTAACCACAGTTGACTTACCTAGGAAGATTCAATGCAGTCGATAGTCGATCACTGTTCAACACGAACTATATAGTCGTCACAAATAACTAAGAAATGAATAAGGTTCTAAGTTGTAAAATGGTAGGCCTATTTCCAGCTGTGGTAAAATACATACAGAAAAGTTAAGACAAAAATCAACCTACGCCCCGGAGGAAAAGGAACAAATAAGTAACTAGTAAAGCTTTAGTCCCCTAACATAAGATCATTTTTGCTGGTATCATTTGTCGATGAAAAAGTGTCGTAGACCTTATATATTTTCACGACGTGTTGACAGGTTCGGAGATGGAGTCCAAGTGGGTGACATTCCGTATCGTCCTGCTGTTCGCGATGGTGCAGGTGGTCCTACTCAACAACTACTATGGCGGAGGCATCGTGTCCTCCCTCCTAACCGAGCCAGCAAAAACGATCCGCACCATTCAAAATCTGATCGACTGCAACCTTGAAGTTGGCTACGAGAATGTCAGTCACAACAGGGGATTATTTGAGGTACGACTTCCTGTACCTGCCGATAACAGCGGTAGCCAATGCGAACACAGCTCGACACAAACTTTTGTCTCCGTTTACCTGAGTCATCCTATTGAACGCATGAGTTACCAGTACTTCTACTTCGTATTCTCAGGTCCCATATTTGATGTTTACACCGACTATTCTAGCCGAATCTTTCATAAAAATCCTGAGTTAATCTGGTTTAATCCTGAGCCAATCTACGAAAACTGCGATTTAACCCTAAAACAGGTAACACCATACGTTATCATAATCAATAACTCATTTTTTGTTACAAGTAATAACAGACCCTATTTAGGGCGATCACCCTGATACTGATGCAGCAACATCGGTAAACTTCTACCAAACTACACGGCGCAACAACACAGCAATCTTGATACAGTGTGTACCGCCTACCTTAGCTCACATTTTTCGTGGTTATTCTCAACCTCTTCGAATAAATTCCGGAACAGTATCTTAAAACAGACTACAGTCATTTCCTTTCAAATCCTTATCAAAAATAATCCTCTTGCCATGTCAATGCACGCTATAAGCTCTATTAGATACAAGATCGTTAAACAAGCAGTCTTAAAACTTTGCATACCGTGTAGTGTATTAACTACAGCTCGCCGAGGCCAGCTACGGCCACCGCACAACGGGATCAATAGCTAAGTGCAAGTTTTACTCCTGTGAATAACGGCATCTAGTGCAGTGTCACATCAAAAATCTTGTCAAATACCTTTTCATTTTTAATTCTGAATCTAGTTTGAACCATTTGACTAAATGTATTAATTTCCCTGATGCCACTGATGATGACCTCTTGAGGTCGAAACGCGTATGGCAATAGTGTCTATTATAGTGTTAATAGTTGTTGGTTTGTTTACTCTATATGTTAGACAAGCAGGTTTGTTTAAAGATATCGACCAAGAGTTGTATTCGAGGGATACAAGTTCAACTGGACAGGTTGCCGGTAATTCTCTCTAAACGTTTTCAGTCTCTCCAGCTGAAATTCGACATAGAACCTTCAAAGAGGCCACGACCATCATAGCCCAATAACGTAAACGAGACTAACACGTGAATCAATCGTCATTTCAGCAAACTACTGACCCTCTGGTGCAGCAGCTGTACAGAAAGAAGGTCTTCCCTCCTACACAATCATATCCGAATACATATCGAGTGGACATCGGCGTTAAGAAGATGAAGAATGAACCGTTTGTTTTCCAAGTCGAGCAGATTGAAGCCTACCCTCACATCGACAGTACCTTCACAGACTCCGAGAAGTGCGCCCTGACCGAAATTCCACTCTTCACATCGATGGTTGGACCTACGTTTGCCCTTGTGCAGAAGGGATCACCATATAAGAAACTATTGGCTTTGGGGTTAGTACTCTGGATGTAAGGTGCAAAAACTTTCTTTGGGTAAACACCATTGTGCATTCGGAGTGGCAACAGGGAGTTCCGATAATGACTCATAAAGGCTACTTTTCTAATGCACAGATTTTTAGTCTATACAAATGTCGAATGTTGTGCGACTAGCACGTAAGTTTTTAGTTTGTGTTATAAATGATAATTACACGCCTTTGAAACTGTTCGCTAATTTGTGGACATTCTGTGTATTTAGCTTTTTAGATAGAAGACCGGAAAGCCAAATGACACACTTAATACGCTTTTCATTCTTACTGTAGTTACCAAACATTTTAACTCTGCCACATTTTCGAATCAATTTTTAACCACCTTTATAATACTGTCCTGCAATCTGGTAAAGAGTCAAGAATAGTAAGTTTTTCTGCACTTTTATAAAACCTTCTTATAGTATTTAGTATAAAACTTGTTTCGTGGAATTTACGCTCTCGTCCAGTAGGCAAGAACCTCCTCGGTCTCTTTCAGTTCTTCTGGTGATAAACACTACCTTGTTTATTAAGACCATTCTGAATATGACAAACGAACCTTACTTTATGCTTAGTTAATGACGTTTTACTAATCATAACATAACTAATCATAATCATAACTGCTCATGCCAACAGCTTCCAACAGGTGCGGGAGAGGGGCCTCATGAAGTACAAATGGCAAGAATGGCGGCCAGCTAAGCCCAGGTGCGTTCTGACGAGGGACGTTGTCAGTGTCGAGATAGAGACCATCTCCTTCGCGTTCTTTCTACTTGTCTTCGGACTCTTTGCGTCAGTTTCGATTCTCGTCATCGAGCGACTTCACTATGACAGGTATTTTATTTTATGATTATTAATGGGATATTTAAAATGTTTTCATTTTAAAATAAAAAATAACGCCATTTCCATAACCTAGACTCAGAAATTAACCGGATTCGCAAATTCTGTAACAGGCATGAAGCATGAAGTGGCCGAATGTAGCGGCCGTATAATTAGAACTTCGGTTTCGTATTCAGTAGATCCTAGGTCCAAATCTCGGCTCGAGATCGGATGCCCTCAGCATATCATATCTGTTTATTTAATGGTTTCTAGTAAGTTATAGACCCGTGTACTTCATGCAGGTGTTCCATAAGAAGACAAACCGGGAGGTCCATTCCCACGCAAGGTCCACGAAGAATTCTTGGAACATAGAACCTAATGAAGGCCCGAGCCGAAGAAAGTGGTAAAATCTCTAGACATATCGCACCAAGGAAGAACACAGCTCCACAGCATTTCCTGATATAAATATCCCACAGCCTATTTATAATTCAGAAAAGCTCCGGTCCAATGGGACAACTACAAGGAGTACATGCTGACAGCAGCTCATCTGTTTAAAAAAACCCAAAACCTTTTATAAGGCCCACATGGTAATTACCATGCTCCCAAGGGCCACTCACGGGGCCCCAAATTAAAACACACTCATATCATATTTTTCTTAGATCCATCTCTCACCTGCCGTATTCTTTCATTTCTGATCCACTTGCAGCTGCCTCCATCATCAGGGCGTCATCGCGGGGAAGCTTCAAATAACATGGGGCATATCCTTCAAATATTTTAAAATGTGTAAGGGAGAATGGACGCTGAGACAAGGTATCAAAAACTTACTTTACCTTGGAAATAAGTGTATTTGTAAAACAAGTGTAATAGTGATAATCATTTACTGATAAATCCTGTGAACGGCACCGAACATTTTAGAAAGAAAAAAATAGTCACATATACAGAAATAACTGTGGAGTAACAAACTATAAAACTTTGAGATTACACCTGAAATATCTATCGTAGTCGGAATCTGTACTATTGGGGAAAAAAAGCAAAGAAACTGATCACTAAGCCGTTCGTTATATAAAGAGGTCTATTAATTATAGTTCTTGTTACCCTTTCCAAGAAGTTTGGAAACTTTTTAAATTTTATTTTAACCCTTTGCGGTCCCTTTTAAAAACCACTACGGCTCTATGCTGGTCTATTTAAATTCCACTAAGCTGTATAAATTCAACTACTATTATGAACTGGTTTGATTTTCTTTTATAACTTACATAAAACGGAATAAACTTAGCTAAATATGGTGAAAATATGACCTGAAAGGATCACAGTTCCTCTTGTTTGAATACTGACTGTGTGAAATATTTTTCACGGACTGTACTACTGTCGCCAGTGAGATGCGTAGTTAATGGTACTTTTCTGCTTGCTGTTGTTCGATGGAGAATAAAGCAACACCAAGTCAGTAGATATGACTTTGCAGACGTCTGAACATCTCTTATTGCATGCAGATATACGATGTATATAAGTATTGGATTTCGTAATCTCAGATCTATGACTCCTTTCGCGCTGATTGTGTACAAAAGTTCAAACAAGTTGAAACAACGCGAAGTGTAAACGATAAGTCACTACACATAAAGAATGCTTGTTAAGAATACGAACGAATGTGCTTGAGTCAAAAATAAATAATAATAATAGAAATTCCTACAGGAAAAATGGGATATTTGTTTTATAACTATATCAGATATGAAATATTTCTATTCTAAGTAAATAAGACAGCTACGCACCTAACGGTATTTCTTCACTGTATGATATATGGCAAAACACTTGGGGTGGAGTCCTGGCTCACTTGGACACGTGTCAGAATAAAACGACGTCTCTCTCCAGCCTCCTTTCACTATTATAAGGTTCACAATGTATTATCAGGAAAACTTGGATAGCACTAGTGCACAGATGAAGTCTTAAATAATATGCTGACCCTGTTTGCCAGTTTCAGCTTCACTCCAGATCATGTATAACATTCGTAAAACACTTGGCGGACGAGTCCGCAATCGGACCGAAACTCAAAATTTTAAAGGTGGACTCAGTCCGACATAGGACCACAAAGAATTAAAAAAACAGCCATTTTGCTGAAGTTAGATCTCCACTTGACCTTGTGCTTGTCACCACAAGGCTAGTAACTTTCTACAAGCATTTTTTAAACAAATTGTTCTTTAAGCAATGAACTTTACTCACTCTTTTCAGCTGATAACAGCCGAAGCGATCCAAGTTTGACTCACATTCGGATGTAAGTCATGGTAACGTCTGAGTGTCCGCTGCCCTGCAACAAAATATTAGGAGTTTCAGTCAGGACGGAGAGAAATATTTTATTAAACTGAATCGCATTAACATTTCGGAAGGTTACCTATCAAGACATTTGTTTCTGAGAGCATGTCGGTACGAACTATTTAAAAGTACTGTTCTTGAGTTCGAAGGAGCACGTGCGTGAGCGCGCAATTAAGGCCAAACACGAGTCCGTTCAATAAAGTTCACAACAAAACCCAACACAAGGTGTCAACAACATATCTATATCACACATGCATTTTTGACCAAAGTCCTTCGGAAGATAACAGTAGGCTGGGCAAGATATTTCCAACTTTTATGGAACAAGGTTCATTACTCTGTTCACATAATCCAGTCAATAGACGGTATCTTGAGCCAGCTAAATCCAATCCACACCACAACACCGTACTTCTTTAAGATTCGTCTTAATACTATCCTCCTATACACGCCTAGGTCTTCCAACTCCCCTGTTCAGGTTTCCAACAAAAATTTTGTATACATTTCTTGCTGCCTAGTGTTTGTTTATGACATGAAATTTGCAACAAGTCTCATAAAACGAGATAATTGGTTCCGCGGAAATGTAATAGTCGTAAAACAGTCCGCATTGACTTTCTTTATGTATTTATCGGCGCCTTCAAGGAAATACTGCTGCTACAGTACATTACTTACTCCCATAACACGGGTTCCATCAAACGAACTCGGCTATGAATGACGAGATAACACTTTGCCTTACAGAACGATCGCTTACTTCCTCCTTCTTCCTTATATGTATAATGCGCATATTTGGCATCTAATCTAATTGGATGCTAAACAATCTCGTCAGCCAACAGAAATCAACAGTTGCACTCTATTCGTTTACAATGCAAAACTGAATTCAATAACATGGATTCCGACAACATTCCCCTTACCAGGGGTATTGGACCGATTTAAATTGAAGTTGGTACAATGAAAGTCTACACTGATAGCGAAAGGAAAATTAATTTTGGTGTTTACAGGCTCGTTACATTACGCACGTCACACAAAGCTGATAGCGAACTTTAATCGAATTTCAGAAAAAAGGCTCATCTTACACAAAAATCCTTAGTGCTCTTATAAAATATAATTTGTTTTAAACATGGGAAGTAATAGCTTTATCGATTTGGCCCAACAGAATACATTTCACACGGTAACGGAGACAAATTTCATCCTCCAAAACGTCGTTTTACTTACATTAAAATTGCAACGATGGATAAAGTCCTAGAATTTTGTACTGGTACTATACAGCATCTTCACAAAATTTCAGATTTAATAAGTAAAATACATAATGTCCCAAAAAGATGTAGACTCTCACTGAACGAATGAAGTACAGACACTTTAACAAACAGAATTTGCACTTAGGGAATTAGCGAATCTAGTTCAGGTGTTCGAAATAACCACCACTGCCCTCGTGGCACACTTAACAGCAGTAAGTAACTCAGTGACTAGGTTTATATTCAAAATAACGTGTATGTTATCTTTTTGCGACATTTAAACTTTCCAACTCAGTGCATTCTGGCATTTACATGCCCACTTTCACTAGCTTCGCCGGAATAGGTTTTTGTTTATATCCTTAATATATGACCATTAAGGTCAATGAGACATGCAATAAAGCGCAGCTGTACTCCAGGTTCGAGTCCCGTCAGGAACAGGGAGTTTTCTCCTGAACTGAGCGGATTAAGACAGCGTCCTATCCAGCGGGTACCACAGACAATTTCCTCTGAAGCAAAGCGGCCGGAGGGTGAAATTTAGCAATTCATCTGTATCTATCGGAGAGGTGAGGAATACATTCAACTACACTTCAACCTCC